GACCCCGAATTCCTACATTTCGAAATCCCCAAATTCCCAAATTTTCAACCCCCCAAATTCCCAAATTTCCAGGACCCCGAATTCCTAAATTTCCAAATCCCCAAATTCCTAAATTTCCAGGATCCCAAATTCCTAAATTTCCAAATCCATAAATTCCCAAATTCTCAACTCCCAAATTCCAAAATTTCAAACCCCCTAAATCCCCAAATCTCCAACCCCCAAATTCCTAAATTTCAAACCCCCTAAATTCTAGAATCACCCACTTCTAAAAATATTCCTCTTCTTTTTTATCTGGATCATTTATCGGTATCAATTTAATCACTAGCAACTAAATACTGATTTTATTCGAGGGTGTGAATACGACAATGGCGTGGGAGAGCGTGTAGCATTAATTTTCAAATTTCATCTCTCAATTTATAATAAAATCTCACCTCCGCCCGATTTTTATTCCTCGATATAGAAATTTCACGAAATTCAATATCTTTATTTAAAACTGCTCTGAGCAGCAGTAATTCGACTACGTATAAGATTACAGAATTACGACCGCAAAAATTACCGTTAAAATCGTTTCAATATCTTTTACGAAAATCAGCCCGAGGAGCATGATCGCGATGATATGTATCATGGAACGGTATCATTAAGCACGCTCGTGACCCACTTATGCATATAAGAACTCTTTATTAAATAAGGTGTACCTATATGTATTTAAATGCCATACTAATTACTGTAAATACCGCGAATAAACTTGTATCTATATCTATATATATATTATATATATATAAATATAAATATTCTATGTACTTAAACGCATTCGACAACGAAACAACTCGCGTTGATCTCATCGACTAAAAAGCTGTGTTTCTAACTAACTACAGGATTAAAAAATCCAGAACTGTTTCGGAAGATAACTTCCGGTCTGAGATTCTGCCGATGTCCTTCGAATATCCCGGTTATTATTCGTTTTAAAAATGAGGGAAATAGTTTCTAATTAATAAGACAACTGCTACTTTAAGTATCCCGTTCAATAAAACGTTTATTACTTGAAACCGTGCAAACGATGCTGCTTTATTTCTCTTGCTAGAAACTTACTCGAAACCATTGGCGTAACTAGGCTGGTATACTTCTTCTTTTTAAACATTTTAGGACACTCTTACTTTTTAGCAGACATACTATTATTAAATTGTTGAAAATATTTTTTGTTTTACATAATTATCATTTTTTTTTAATATACTTATTGTTGCAGATTAAAGATATTATACGATCTTCCTCTGAATAAATTTGTAACATATACTTGCTTAGAATTATATTTTTGTTATTTTTATTTCTGACAAAATATTTGCTTTGTCAAAATTAAAAAAATCATAGAACGAAAAGTTATAGATTATAATAAGATCAGATTATAATAAAAAGAAGATTCAATTAAACTAACAATAAAAACAAGTATTTTATCCTAAATACAATATACAATTAAATATAAAACGGAGAAGGGTAAAATAAACATCCGAGTTACGCCAATGTTCAGCCCGTACCCAGTTCCTTTTCAAGCCGCAAATTAGCATTAAATTTTCACGTTGACCGGAAAAATGAAATCGAATAAAGCCCAGAATCGCTTGAACAATGTTTCGAGAATATTATGAATTGAATCCCGTGATACGAGAGAGAAAAACAATGAATAAAACCGGGACATGGTAGTGACTGGTTTCGATTGAATTTGAAAAGGAAAAATAAAATCTGCCTGTGCAGCGGGACGAATTCAAATCATTAGTCGAACAATGCGCTTCTATAACGTGCGCCGACATAAAAATTTGATAGGCTCTGAACGAGTTACATGGAATATGCATTCGACTTTTCATGCCGACCGTAAAGCTGCAACTCGTGCATCTCGTGCGATGACCTTTCGCTACGGTGGCTTTCGTAATCGCATATTTCAATCGTGCATACGTGTAGCTCGTTCTTTATGGACCCCAGAGAAAAAATTCGAGATAACTCGTATTTCAATTCTGGTACTTATTCGAGTTTGGTCACTTAGAAATTTCATTGTCAAATTTTCAAGTTTAAGGATTTTCAGATTTGAGGAATTTACAATTTTCAGGTTTAAGAGATTTCATTTTCTAGTTTAGAACTTCGGGGTTCTTCGAATTGTTCAAATGCGAAAATGTTCAAATTCTCAAGTTTAGTAATTTGCACATTTCCAAAATTAAATTTGCAAGTAAATTTCTAAGTTTCTCAAACTAAGTTTTCGAATGTATACAGTATATTGGTTCGCGTCGGTCTAAAAATCTAAAAAGCTCTTAATTAAAAACGACACCCAATTATACTCGCGAATAACTTAAACCCATCACTACCACCAATTCACATCCCAGCTCTTTCAGCACGAGGTTAATTAGCAAGGTAGAGAAAAGGGAGCATACATAATAAGCAATCTGATGATTTATAAGTCGAAAACAATGGAACCTTGTGGTAACAGGTCGAAGAGGAAAAAAGAGGAGATAATATGTGAGAAGAAACAAGGGGTAGAATGGGGCAGAGGTGGAGGAGCAGTAGAGAGAACGAAAGAGCTTGGAACCGCGTTGATCACGTAACCGCGGGAATAAGGGATAAAGCGCACAAACGTCATTGCCTGAGGCCCCGTTTCCATGGTTACCGTGAACTCAATATCCGCGATGCCCGAGGGTAGTACGAGCCACGGGCTATCATCCCTCGAACCTGCTGAGAGGGAGACACTCTCCCTCTCTTTCTCTGCTTCTGTCTGTTTCTCTGTACTTCTATTCTATTCCTCTCTTTATCTTTTCATTCATTTCGCCATATTGTTACCGTCGTTTTCTTTACAACCCTTTTTGTTTCTTTTCGTACCCTCTTTTTCTCGACGGTATCATTTTTCCAAATTCCATCGAGATTTATTTCTTTGGTTTCTTCGATCTCTTCTCCTCTTGTTTATCACTTTATCCTCTTGCATATTGTTTCTGTGCAATTCCTATATTCTTCAACTTTTTTGTTTGAACAATTGTCTTTTTTTTTATTTTTGTCTATACTTCTGGTTTTCGAAATTTCGTTGATTCCATCTTGGCCTTTCTTTCTCTCGCTGAGTTTCCTCGTCTATGAACCCTTTTCCATCCTTCTCTCACCAGCTATTGCACATTTTACCTCCCACCCTTCTCGGTCTCTGTCGAGCAACGGCTTGATTATATTCCATTTCTGGATCGCCCGAGGGCCATCTCAGTCCCAGGTCCTTCAATACACGACACGAGGCGAAGTAGCCTTTGGCGTCAACATGGAAGACGGGCTTGAAATTCGAGGATACCCCGGGACGAAACCATTGTCCGTACGGAGGCTTGATGAACGATATTTTTCACGAGAGCGTCGTTAAAAAACCCGCGAATTGAAACCACGGTAAAATTTTAATTATTTCAAATCTTTTTACTGTCCGAAAAAATGAATAGAAAGGTTTCATTGTGTTAGCATCTTTTCAAAAATGTTATACATAAAAATTTGACCCTTAACAATTTATTTGAATCAAAACGCAGCACAGTTTCGTGTATTGCAAAATCTTTATATAAAAACAAGGTGTGAAACGAAAGCTACTGAAATGTGAGACATCGTTGAAGGATTCGATAGTGATTCATAAAGTAAGCAGCGCTCTGCTTGTACGATAACATTCCAATCGTACAGCATGTGCGCTGATGAAATAGTTCAAGAGCATCTTTAAATAGAACATGCTAAGAACCATCTAGAACAGTTCGTGTGATACGTAATCAGAAGAAGGCACCGTTCAACGTATTTATATTGCATAAGTATACCTTTTATAGTATTTTTTTCTTTCTCTTTATAATACTACCCCTTAACTCGACAACGCCCATGCATTATACAGATTTTTACACACGCAAAAATACAAGGCAAAAAAATGAAATCCTTACTCAAGTATTACTTTCAGTATTTATATCATTTAATTTTGCGAATACAATAACAGCCCGAAACTTTATGGATTTGATTAGTCTCGATAATTTATAAAACATTGGAAAACAAAAGTTGGTTCCTGTCAAAAGAAAATCGTGTCGTACAAAAATCGTACGTTGTTCATATTGCTTTTTTGTTCTGAACGAAAAAGAATAAAGAATTCGGGCTATTTCTTTGGTGAAACTTATTCTCGTGTTGTTTTTTTTTTTTATTATTATCCTCTGGCTTACGACTTATCGAATTACAATTTGTAAAAATATCATACTGTACCAAAACTGCTATGTACCATTAGTTCTTTAGTTTCTTTACAATCCTCTATTTTTATATATTTATATTAATAATTTCCACTTAGTGGCAGTAAGGAGAACATTATCATCTAACTTCGGAAACTTGCGGTCTTATTATTATTTTTTTTCGCGTTTTTTCCTTTTCTCGAGCTTCGTACAAAAGAAAGAAACGTCGCGATCATTGCAAAGAGGAACACGCAGCTAAGAAAAAGAAAAACCTCTCTCTCCGTTTTCTTCTTTTTTTTCTTCCTTTACATTGTGAAGTGCGCGGCCAAAAATGTATGGTACATGTAAAACGGTATTTATGTGCCATTTCCGATAAAAAGTATATTTAGCGACTGAAAAACGAATTATTTACATGTACTCGAACAACTTTGCTTCAACGATCCTTTTTTCCCTTTTTCTTTCTAATTTTCCGGCTCGTAACGAAGAACTTACAATAAATTGCATTATACAATTAGAAAGGCAGAATCGCTTCCCGGTGCACGCAATAACAAATTATATTTAACTGAGATCAGTATTGCAATGTACCCCTGCACCTGTTACGCATTTTTCTTTTTAAATTCTTTCGCTTTTCTATTGATTCTCGCAAATTTAATCGGCGCTATTCAAAAAGATAACAGTATATAGTTCAACTTAATATCTTTTACATAGTTCGTCAGTCTTGTGCGCGTATTTTGTATTTCAATTGATATTTTGAACCGTTGAAGCAACTACGTTTCACCCTACGGTAGACTCTTGTTATATTGCCACCTTCGTACTTCCACGCACTATAGAGGCGCTCATGTAGCGCTACATTGTCATTTGTCTCGTTATGCTACGATACATTACCACGCACTGTACTGCCACTCGTTACAACGCGTTGTATTGTTACATCACGTGTTGTATTGTTACATTACCACGCATTGTATTGTTACATCACGTGTTGTATTGTTACATTACTACGCGTTGTATTGTTACATCACGTGTTGCATTGTTACATTACCACGTGCTGTATTGTTACATTACCACGCGTTGTATTGTTACATCACGTGTTGCATTGTTACATTACCACGTGTTGTATTGTTACATTACCACGTGTTGTATTGTTACATTACCACGCGTTGTATTGTTACATCACATGTTGCATTGTTACATTACCACGTGTTGTATTGTTACATTACCACGCATTGTATTGTTACATCACGTGTTGCATTGTTACATTACCACGTGTTATTATTACACGATAAGCATGCGATATATTGCCACGTATTACATCACTCCATGTTCGATTAACTCGCGTTACACTGCACGTTTTCATGAGTTACATTGCCACGTTTTATATAGCCTAGTAGTATTCCCAAGTGAACGTGGGAGATAAACGAAGACCGCAATATTTGTTTAGCCAACGCGATATCAATTCCAAGAATTTTTCCTATGGCGGTGGCAATATAGTAAAAGTCTACGGTAATTATAACTGAAACGTAACATAGATATTCGCTTTTATTCACTCCATCTCTCACTCTCTCACGTTTTGTTCTCTTATTATTTACACTAAGAAGACTCACAGGTGTACGTGCCTCTGTAACTTATTTCGCGAACGTCGGTGGTCGGGAAATGTGTATCGTGCTCCCTGAAAAATATGGAAGCACGAAAATCATTGAAGAATCACGGTTAATCCAGATTATCGTGATACTTGTTAAACTATAATTCTGATTCGGATAGCGGATAATCTTGAAGTAACCGTTGTCTTGAGGATCATCGAAAAGTAAAAAGAAATGAAATAAATAGTATGCCTCGTATTATATTATCGTTCTTATTTCTTTTTTTTTTTTTATCATTTTGTAATTGCATTTAAACTACGGCAGTATAATAGAAAAACTTCTACCAATTGCTTCAACAAACTTATATCAAATTTATATATTATAGCTTATAAAAAATGTATGGCTTCCCATATCGGTATCGTGTAAAATGTTGAATATGTTCCAAGACGAAAGTTCAGTTTCTATATTTATATGTAAATCTGCGTGAATGAACACAAATCATTCGAGATTCTGTATGATATTAAATGCTATTACAGAATAAAGAAACTACCTTGAACGATCTAAACCGATGATGTACTAGAAATGAACACTAAACGTAAATGAATGATACATGCGTATATTCGTACGTATATACAGGTATATGTATCAATGTCTCTATCGTATGATAGGCATGTACAATGATGTTAATTTTGCAGGAAAAATCTACATCGGGCACGCGTAATGTAATACGCTCATGTGATGAGCAAGTTAGGAAAGATCGATATCTTTTTTTCTTTTTTCATTACTTCTGTACGATAATAGGCACCCACGTACATCTGCAGCAAATTCTTTTACATTATAAATCAGGTACACGCTTTGAATTATTTATTTTTTTCTTTTACTTCTTCTTCAATTGATTATGCGAAGCACACTTTTTTTTCTCGTCTGAATATTAGCAAAAACTGCACCAATTCCAATGAGGAAATATAAATTAATTAAATTAACGTTAATCGAAAAAATATCCGTACATTCTTACTTTTGTAAATATTTCTTTAATAAAAAACGTAACAGCTAATTCTTTTATAAACACTGAAAATGTAGATTACAACATAATATACTGATAACAATTCCATCTTATGGTGGAGAGTAGCTATATTTTGTTGTACCAACATTGAAATTATCACTATTTAGTATTTTTTTAGGTGTAAGATATTGTACAAATAATTCCATACTTTTTGGACAGTGTGCTCACAGTTTTCCTCTTCTTCATTTTTTTTTTTACGTTTGTTTCGTTACATTATAATTTGCAAAAATACGATTTACTATATATTAACAAAACCTGCACTCTTTACACTAGCGCTACAGTGTCCAAAAGTATAGGTCAAGTGTTACAATGCAGCAGGCATATACATAAATGACAATGTACACTCATTCATTCCACATACAACGTACACGCACCATATAACAACATTTATATATGGCCACACAACACCCTTACCACAGGAGACTACCCCAGACTGATCATCGAAGCATGTGCTCATACACATTGCTCTTCTGAATGATGCGATTTCGTGTTGAAAAATAAAGAACAATCTATTATATTACATTTAAAAAATCTTCAGTCATTTACAGTAGGGAAGCTTATCGACATGGTAGAAATAATCTTATTTTGAATGTATGTGGAATCTCGACGTGATTCGCAATGAATTTCATCGTATGCAACTTATGAAACACTGTACAATGCAACGTACACTAACGTTACATGATCGATCAAGGTCCATTGAGGCCAGCTCACACAAGACCGTATAGGTTGGGCGCCAAATATCGGGCGGGTCACTCAAGTTCCTGCCCTTCACAGAACATCACTTCAAGTACGATTTATACAGCATTGTGCTCCTACACGTTTCTTTCTCTTGTTCAAGAAGGAACAATAAGTCTCGAAAATTCACCCTTTTCAAACGCGGTCTCATCGGCATTTGTCGGTTAATTCCGGTCGCTGAAGTGTTCAAACCGGAATTACTTCCTGGACTACTGGCGGACCCCCCTACATCGAGTTTAGGCTTTTTACGTGGACCAATCGCTTGTAAAGCTGTCAGATTAGCTTCTCTTTGTCTTAGCTCTTCCATTTCTGCACGTTGCATCTATGGAATATAAATAATACAATTACTCTCACTTGTCTACGCAGCACTTTATTTCACTTTGTAACTGTACAAAAATACCTCTTTCGCTTTCGCCTTAAGTTTAGCTTGTTCTGGATCTTCCGTTTTCGCGCGACTTTTCGCGGCACGCAGAAGTAACTCTCTTTCTTGCTCTTCGTGTCTTCTACGTTCGACTTTATCCAAGTCTTCTAAGAACTTTAACTGTGCCCGGACATCTTGCGTTACTTCGTATCGTGGATCCACCTATGAGCAACATATGACATTCAAGTTACAATTATTTGGTCCAACGCTGATTGCATTCATTGCGATCCTTATACTGCACCTTTATCAAATCTATCCTGTGCTCTGCGATTACCGCTAACTTCTCTACTAAATTCTTTAACCTTTCTTGTGCGGCATGCGATATTAACGCTGCAACTTCTTGATTAGGTTCTTCTAATCCATAATTAGAAACTAAAATAAACAAATTTGTTTAAATATCGTACTATCAGTACATGTTGTACGTTTAAGTGAACAGGTCAATATAGACAATTACCAATTTGTTTAATTCTTTGCTGCAATGGGGTCATGTGAAGAAACACTTCGTCTTTACAGGATCTTATTTGTGTGCCAACAAACTCTGTGGAACCGAGAATCCTTTGCGATTCCTCGGCAAGATTAACTCCCCCCATAGCCGCGACATCGTTGATATCGTCATCTCCCCTGTTTAAAAGAAATATATGGACAATCACATACAAGTACGTTGTTTACAAACATAAACGAAGAGCGACTGCTTACGTGTATCCTGCAGACGAAAATGTTTTCTTTTCTTTTTCTTTAATAACTGGCTTTGGAACAAAAGAAGGCACTACGGCTTTATTAACAGTAGTGGTTGTGTTGATTGTTTTTCCCTGTGTCGTAGTTGTCACTGTCTTAACAACAGTCGTTGTAACAGGTGGTTTCTGCACTGTAGGAACAGTAGGTCGAATACCAGCTACCGCTACCGTTGACTTTACAGTGTATGCTGTAGGACTCCGAACTACTGTTGTAACCGGTCGCATCTGAGGGAAATCAAATGTGCAATTCTTTTTGATTCAGTAAAACATTGAACATAAAGAAACAATTGTAATTAATTTCGTTAAGATACTAATTAGTGATAAAATATATTGCTAACTGCAAAGGTTAGGGTATTAATTCAATGGTACAATGGAAACTATATTACAGGACTTCACATTGTAATGTTAAAAGCGATAAAATAACTATAAACAGCGCTATCTTACCAGCCTCTGTTGAACTGGCTGAGGAGGTCGAGGGACTGTGGTTGTAGCTGCAGCTAGTGGAGTCATTACCCTTACTTGCGTAGTTGCAGTAACTGCAGTTACAGGTATTGTTGCTGCTGCCACAGCAACAGTTGGTCTAAGCTGATTCTGCTACATTGTATTATAAAGTACATTATGGTGTACATAGCAAAAGGTATGAATATAGTGAATGGTAGCAGCATAAGTAAGCAGTACTAATTGCACTATTCGCTACTGTGTACATCAAAGTCAATTAATTATTCTTACCTGTGTTACTACGGGAGTGGCTGATGTTACAGGGAAAACAACGTTGGCTGGAGGTGGTTTTATACCCTCTATAACCAATTCTTTCGTAACAAGCGATTGCCGTAAAAGTGGCAAACTCTTTTTGAGAAATCCAATCAAACATGGTTGAGGTGAAGCATTCAGCAATCTTTCAAGTCTATCACAGAACTCTTCGGGTTCAACTTTAGTATCGATTAATTCTTGTATCAAAGTTCGAACATTTCGCTCCACGGCTTTAGGTTCTCGACTAGATAACTCTAATAAGTTTGCTAAAAATTTACGGCACTTTTCTTTGGTATTATCGGTAGTTTGACGCTAGAAGTAAAAGAAAAACAGTGTGAATAATATACTTATATAAATACGCAACCAAAGATTATTAAAATTTATATGATATACATTGTGACACGTAGTATTTTAATTTGATTATGTTAAATATACGTAATACATACAGGTGCAGGAGTCTGCACTGTTTGAACAGTTGTAACAGGTGGGGTAGGTGTAGTTGTGGCAGCAGCAGTCACCGTAGCTGGAGTTGTAGTTGCTGTTGTAATAGTTGCAGCCACTGTCTGTATTTGATAAATAAATCAAGATTATAAGATTTGTTGTGTTTCAAGGCCATTGAAAAAAATCGTTCATTTACTAAATCAATTCATTCATGAAATTAATAAATACTGATAAATTTGTAATTTCAAAAATTTTCATTTCAATTACAAAACTGCAATGTCATTCAGAAGCAATTTGCAGCATTATTAAAAAAATAAATTTAGATTATAAATAATAATTTGATTTATGCCATGCTCTCAATTTCAAAGCAAACATTTCTATGTAGGTTTTATATTATCAACACTTCAATACTTAATAATTTTGTAACCTTCTTCTTTTATAATTTGTTTTATTAAAAATATATTATTTTTATTACACAACATACTATAATCTTAATTAATACCAATTTATAAGACAAATTTCAAACAGAAAAAGATTACATTGTTCAATATTCTGAAGCTCAGTATAACTAAAAGAACACAAAAAATACTAATAATAATAATAGTAATAATAATAATGATAGTAATAAAAATAATAATAATAATAATAATAATAATAATAATAATAATAATAAAAATTTACTTCCCACATGCATCATCACATCAAATCTCTAAATCTCTGCAATATTAATACTTTTCTTTTGTAACAATATTCTTACTAGGAAATTATGGTCTACATTTTTGCTATATGCATGCTGAACTTCAGATTTGTCAAACATAAAATCTACATCTCTTTATTGTTTTTCCAACTAATTTCATTACTTCAAAGTAAACAAACATATTTATATTCTTATTATTCAGCAATTATAATAATGATATACATTAAAAGACGCACTTGTACCTTGTACAGACTCGTAATTTTGTTTAATTTGTTATTATTTAACTATTTCTTAATGAGAAATATATGTACAATTGCCTTTGATTTATGTATTTAGTATGAGATAATGAGTATTCTACATATTAATAAGATAGGATTTTATACCAGATTATTAATTTGAATATTAAAGTAATTAAACATAATCTCTACATGAAAATTCAATAGCATGATGAATTATTAGAATAATTTCAAGTTAAGTATGTCACTGTTACTTCCAAGCTATGTTACATAAATATCCGTCCAATTAGAGAATTAAAATTTTTCTTGAATAAAAATAAAAATTCATATACATAAAAAAATTGTATTACTATACATTGTATGTATATAAACTTAATTGCTTTTTATTATACCTGAAAATATGCTATACTACAATACCCTTAACCAATGTAACATGCAATGTGTGTGTAGATGAAGGCACTGAATAAAGAAAAATAATTGCACATTTGAAAAATTTCTACAACAAAGAGGCATCCCAACAAATAAGCCAATGAGAAAATAAAATTCTTTATATGTTACGCAAAACCTTTCAGTCAATTGTAACTATTAAAATTTTATATGAATTCTTAAGTCAGCAGTAAATTTAAACTTCTTTTTACTGATGTGAAGGTAATGCTTTTACATGATATGAATGGCTTTTTATAAAATAAGGAAGAAATTGAAACACAATAAAAATTTGTTATATTTTAAAGAAAATTTCACAGAATTGAAACAACTTAATACAGAATAAAGAATATAACATAATACATAGCCTTACCAATAACACCATTCCAACTAATGGCACAAACTAAAAGTCTACTACAGCACTACATCGAGTCTTGTAAGAGGTATAAGAGTGCGTCACCTGAACAGATTTTCTTAAGGTGGCGAGTGGTGGGCCAGTGAACTGTGTGTTCAGCCTACTTACAGCCGGCACTGAGGCTAAGCGATAGGTAGTGCCTGGAGATGGTGCAGCAACCACTGCATTTCCCGCTATACTATTTGGTGTAACTGCAGTACCACCAGGAGTACCTGCAGTTGGAGGTGGCCCTACCCTTAGCAATTGGTACTGTCCACTTTCTGTTTTTAGTAATATGTGACCTTGAGTCCCGGGTTGAAGACCATGTAATGTTTGTAATGTTATCTAAAAATATTCAAATAAGCATTTTAATAGTAAAAATATATTTCCAACATTACATTTAAAAAAGAATATTGAAATGCGAGAGTAAATACAATAAGTTAATAACAGCAATAGAAAATTAAATGATCTTTAAATGTATACACATACTTGTTTACAACCTATTAACATCTTACCCCTGGAGCTCCAGGTCTTGTTCCAAGCATGTGTTGACCAATTACTACTCTCGGTGCAACCTGCTTTCCAGCTTGTTGTCCTGCCACTGGAGTGCCAGGACGCATGGTATTTACATTGACAATTTGCACATTGCTGGGTACTATTGTAGACGTAACCCCAGCTTTACCCTGTAATGCTGTGCTGACAGCATTGCCAGCCACAGAAACAGGAACAGACATTGGAACAGAAACCATACCACTGGGTGCTACACTAGTCTTTATCACCAAAGCTGTACCTGTTGGCTTATTTACACTGGCCACTGTTTGACTACCGGTTTCACTAACAGAACCAACATTAGAAACGTTCGACGTTGTCTGTAACACTGCCTGCGATGTTATTCCCAACGTACCATTGGCCAGTTGTCCAACAGTTTGTGCAGGAAAAGAGAGTTTATTATTGGCATTTGCTACCCCCGTAGTTGCTATCACTTGACCAACAGTTGGATAAATAATCTTGACAGGCTCATGTGCTTTAGTAAGGCTTGGTATATTTGTTGTTTGATTACTGGTCACCTGGTTTGTAGTTACTTGATTAATATAAGCAGCAGGGGGGACTGCTGACTGTGTATGCTGTTGCTGCTGTTGTGTAGTAACCTGTGGCGCCACTGTGTTTGAGGTAACCACGTTTACAGGGAGAAGAGTACTCGTGGTAATAGACTTCGTTACTTCTTGAGTCATCAGACTGTTCACAGTGATAGCACCGCCACCGTTTGAAACCCCATGTTTCTGCGGCTGTACCGCGGTGATGGTGCCCCCGTTGGAAATACCACTGTTCACCTGATGATTCTGCTGGCTGACTGACGCAGAACTTACTTGATGACCAGACACAGCCGGCGTCGATGTTACCAGTTGCGTTTCGAGGGAGCCTACTATCGCGTTCACTGCGGATTCATCGACGTCCGTGCTCAGAGCTTCCTCCAGAAACTTAGCTGACGCCATTTTCTTCCAAGCTCCAACTGTAAACTGATCTGCGCATGCGCCTGTCGCAAATTGTTCCCATGGTGCATTGCCCCCCTCCCCTAGCGCAACTGAAAATTATACGCGGTCTTTCCTCTGTTTACTGTCTGTAGGCACACAAACTTATTAATGTCTCTCACCATTGTGAAAAATTGTATTAATCTCTTGTTACTCGAACGATGATTTACCATAGTCTTTGCTTGCTGTTCATTCGAAAAACGAATATCGCCATGTTACATGCAACGTCGATCATTTATGTTATGGCTGTCAATACTCGGCGTGCAAACACGTCACCCGCCAAAATGGCTATCTTAGAAACTAGAGATTCGTACACGATTTGTTTCCGTGATAACAACATCGTGTTAACGCGTTGATCAGGAAATTATAAAAAATCTATAAAAATTTTCGATCCCTGAGAGTTCTGTAACATTTCTTCCTTTTAGGATGCTGTTAGTAACAGTTGCTTTGAACAATATGCGTTCCGCAATACATCCTTTCGTTTCATTTGCGTTTTTCTTTTTTTGCGTTCCGCAATACATGTGAATCGGATACTTCTGTATTGCAAACAAGACCTAATAATATTCTTCTCAGACATTGCGCCCTCTATTGGCAATAAGAGAAATAAAGTTCAATTGATTCTTGGTCAAAACAATCTATGCTATATCGCATACTTAATGCACAAACGAAACGTGAAATAAATTCTTTTATTAAAAAGTACATAAACATTTTTGTTAAAAAAAATGTCAAGTAACAAATGATGTATGTAAAATTCGAAATCAAAGATTTACATTATATATTTTGTATATTATTGAAATAATTCTTTATACATCCTTATTCTTTTTAGTACACGTCGAATGTCTTATCATACAAAATTTATATATTATACGCAATTAAAATATAAACGTATAAACGTTCTATCAAAATATACACATCACATTTGAAGTAGAGAATACGATATTACATTTTTACATAATTTTTTCCGCTTATCTACAAAAGAGATCTTCGCATCGTATTTGCTTATCGGTATTCTCAAGTTACTTATTTCTCTTTTGTACAGTGTTACGCATATTCTACATCGCAGGTGTCTATTCTAGTTTCAACGCGACATTTCGAGTTATCATTACTATATAATTAAAAACTATTTTAGTCATATTATCAGCGGGGTTACTGAAATTCTTACGTAAGATCATAAATGCTAAAAAAATTGCATTATTACGAAAGAAATTTTGTTCACGGAACTGACGCCCAGTGAGGCCACGTCTGAATGATGCTGTACAAAGCATCACCCGGACTTAAAGTCTTCGAAACTTGTCTGTGCGCCAATAATTTGTAATCTGGCGCGATTTTACCATGTTCTACCCCTAATTCGATAACCTTTTGAGCAGCGTACAACTGATTCTTAGGTGGTATGACACTGTTGAATGTACCAATGAAAGCGATGCCTATGCTTATATTATTGAATCCAAAGGCGTGCGCTCCCATGTAATCCCAACTTCGACCAACATACACAAGCCCGTCGCCGCCGACAAGAAAATTGTAAGCGATATCCGACCATTTTCTGGATTCAATATGAAACGTTTGCGCAAATCGGACATGAAATGTACATTCTGACTGCGTCGTGCAAAATTCAGTTGCCGTATGACTAATAATCACATATGGGACCGGAAGTTTCATCTTTATCAATTGTTCGGATGGTGGTTGAGCACCCCATTCGTTCCTTTCAACGAAACGAACATTTTTCACTTTACCACCTGTAACTTGAGTATATTACGATTGATATATTTATGGCCCGTTTAATATCGGATTTGAATTAATATAATAGATTCTTTTATACTGCCACTGATGGTGCTATTCAAAATATGGGCCAGTGATTATAACAGTTGAGGCCCTTATAAAATCAATCAAAATATGGTAATAGCTTGTGGAATAATTTTTTCAATTTCGAGAGTTATAAAAGTGGCAATATAGCGAATCTACTATACATGATTCGCGAGAATTTTGTATAAATATAGAATTACCTCCAAGAGAAGAATCTGGTATTTCCGGGAAAACAGGTGCTGGTCGCGTAGTAGTGGAACTGTTTGTAAAATATACACTCACGACAATCACAGTGATTACGAGAATTAACGCAAGCACACACAGAAGTGCCGCACACCTCCAAGTCCACAGCCATTTTGTTACTAAAAGGATAAGAAAACATTAATTGAATTCACTCGAATACTATAAATACAAATTAGTAATTATACAAAGTAAAATGATTTATATATTCTACTAGAAAAAATATTAACCCTTTTTTACAAGAGATTGCTTAACGTTGCTATCCCCTGTATCACAATATGGTATTGTCTCGCTAAGTCTACAGTCCAAAGTATTTCTGCAATCTATGCCAGATTAAAAATACCGATTAAAATGTAAAAGTCAAATTCATATAAATTGACATCATTGTATAATGATCGACAGTACGCACCGTTTATTCTGGCATAACAATAACGGCAAGCAAAAAAGTCGGTTATATAAACCATTTTGTTATAAGTTACGAGCTTACGAGGAGCTCAAAAATTAATTACATCTGACACAGAACACGTCTATGAATCTTTTGAGCACAGATCTTAATACAGGATGTACTCAAGTACTTCCGGTCATATTTTATCGAGTTCAATTAATAACAGCGTAAGAGATAAAATTCAATGAGCGAAGATAAAATCTCGGGATCTACTGCTTCGATAAGAATTAATTTATCGAACCTAATTTAGATGAAGACTGTAGACTATTCCGACTTAAAGGCGGGAAAATGAAAAAAAAAATTAAAGGCCGAACAACAATTTAACAAAAATAACGGATACGGAGTGTGTTTAATCTCAGGATAGATTCCCGCGCATTTTCCTGTACAGAAAAAAACGGAGTGGTAAAGGGGACTTTTCCCGAAATCGGGACTTCCCACTTTTCCCTGCGGCGGTCATCCGGCCCACCTTTGACCCATGACCCATCCGGCCCTCCACTTACAGTTTACCGCAACAGTAATACACCCAAGGATCGCCTCGACTTTTCAAACTACATAGAACCGAAAAAAAATAAACACAACTATGCCAACCCTGGGTTCCATGTGCCTACCAACTGGTAAAACGGACAAGTAATGGTTTCTTGATCTTTTATTGCTGCTATGGCAAACTTCATTATTCAAAAACATCCTAAAATCTAAAATTGATATCTTCGTTCTGCGTGGGAAGGAAAACGCGCAAACATTCCGTGTTTTCAAATTTACAAATTTTTAAATATAGCAGATGGAGTCTGAGAATTTAGAAATTTAAAAATTTGAAAGTTTGTAAGTTTAAAATTCCTAGAATACTAATATGGGAGTCATGTAGCGAAAGTGTGCTATATTTTGTCCCATTCGCGTTCCAATCACTTTCAAATTATCGCTTTCATTACTTTCGTTACGCAATTATATTATCAAGATGATCACCTTTGTCAAAATTACGGTTCTCAGATAACACGGTACCGTTGCCAGTCGAGTTCTCCTTATTCGAATTAAAACCATTAACATTGCTGTTCCTCTCGTTGCTCTTAACAGAATCGTTATCCTCCACAGAGATCGGGTTGGTATAAACAAACTGTTTAATCGTCACCGGTCCCTTATAAAACGTCTTGCTACCAAGATGCACATTAGTCGAGTTCTTCACTCGCACATCACCAAAATTCGAGGCGTCAGCGTTCGGCAACACCACATTTCCGTCAGAGGTGATCACCTGTTGTTGCTGGAACACCGTGGGTACCGGCAAATCTGGTATCCAGTCCTCTTCGTCGGTATCCGTCTCTTCATCGTCCTCTTCGTCTACGTCACTGCACTGCGTAGAGGAACCGGCGAGGCTACCATTTCCGGTGGCAACGACCGCTGTATCTTTGGAAGGATGTTCAATTTTCACGCGACAGACGTCGGTGTCCTGATTCTCGATCGAAATTGCGCTCGCTTGATCTTGATCCTTCTGATACCGAGTTTCGTCCGGTGCTGTTTGCTGATGATGTTGCACCAATGTCACCATGCCCATGCGCTGGAGGAACAAAAACGTTTGCTTCCATTGTTTGTCGGAGATTATCTACGAGGGTTATTCAATGAATAAAGAGATTTCGACACGTTTGTTACATGAAAGTTTGCATTCAAAGTTGAAAATTTATTTTGACAAATCTTATTCATTATTTTTGTGATAATTTTCTATTTATATTAGGTATAATTCTGAACAGTTGATATGAATGAGAAGCGAGAAAATTTATTATCTCTTTAGTTATTGAATAACTCTCGTATTACCTATTAATTTCAGATAATTCAAATGCATCTTTTTAATGGAGTAATGAGGTAGAGTCTAAGGTGGTTCTACACCATCAAAGTAATTCCCTAAATCTTCCTCCCTATATGAGGGATGTGGTACTTCATATATTTTGTACATGAAATTTAAGACTTCTGAAGTAAGAAACTAAAAAATTTCCAAGTATCGTGATCATATCTAACACAGCAGTGACACTGCTGAACGATACTTCAGTGACTTTGTTATCATTATGAAAAATGCATTTAGAAGGCGACATAGACCAAATAGAATAATAGATCATACTATTGAAAAGTTTCTCGTTTACCTAATGATAATACAAGAAAATGACCCAACATTACTTCTAAACGATTTGTTTTTTCGGCATTATCGATAACAACATGAATCAATCGATCAAAACCGATTTTCTTACTACCGTTAGTAGCCGCAGCTTATCACGATAAAGCAGATTACGATTTTCAGTTGTTCGAGCAGCCTATCGTATTATTCGGAACAAGGAATATTGCGATACTACAGGGGCAAAGTTCATGATACGAACTATACGTAGTAATGAGAATTCAGAGAAAACTATGAAACACTGAATTCTCCATAAAATAAAATATAAGAAGACTGAAGGAAAATTCAGAAACGAATGATGAAGATAAAGGAAGAAAATAAATGCGTAACGCGTGCAAATCAGGGTTCGCGGTAAAGCTGATTATTAATTATCTAGTCCATCCAGAATTTTTGCTAATGAGCGCATGATACAGTGAGTCATATGGAATTACCTCGCATAAATCATCCTTTCTGTCGTACGCGGTCACTTTGTTGGCGCTCGATTATCACCAGCTTACAACATGGCGTCTCTGCGAACAACTTTTCTTCTTCGTCTCAAAAACACGATTTTCCTGCTCCGGAGGAATTCTTTGAAAATTTATAATTATCAACAACTTTACACATACCACCGAATACTCGCACACTATTACGAAATGCTCGATTACGTATTCTCAGAAGGTATACGTTAACGGTACCATCACCATGCTACGACACTGGCACAGATACTACTGCCGGTGACGCGATGCGCTTCACGAAGGCCGCACTCGACACTGGAACTTCCAAGCTAAAAACGTCTCTTTCTAATTGACGTAAAGAGCATACTGGCCGAAAAAAGATCGAACTGGCCAACCATGTGTATCAGAACCCACGGGAAAGAGGGCATCCCATGGAATTTTCTTGTTCGCCGTACTTTTTCGTGTCGTAACTGTACGTCACTGGTTTGTGACGTGCGAAAAGTTTCACGAAGGACGTGGCTGTCTCCGACATTCGCTTGGAGGAGGAAATCTTCCAAGACATACGTCACTTGAGTCAATCTAAAAAAGAAAGAACTTGTTGCTGAAAATTTGCGTTTACTTCGAGTCAACCGGTTCTCCGCTTAACATCGCGCCTGGGGAACCGCCAAATTGTTTGAACTTTTGCGTTGTTTCAATTTTTACACTCGTTTCTGTTTTTTGTAGAGATTTGTTAAATTTAAACGAGCTTGATAAGCGCGGATGCAATTGTCGGTGGAACAGAATTGCACGGTGTATATCAATATTATCTCCTCGCGATTCGTCACCGCGAACTGTCGATACTTCGTTGGACACGCTGTGAAATCGCATGCAACCCCACTCTGCATTTTTCCGTGTAACCAGAAATTGGTGATGTACACTTGAGTGCAATGTTGACTTTGGATGCACCTGACGGACTGGCGGATTTCAAGTAGAGCGAGGATGTCTCTGATTCTGAAAAGTGAAATAAGTACATTCCGTTCTTGAATTCTTAAATTCTCAAATTTCTAAATTACCAAATTACCAACTTCTCATTTCCTGAATCTTTACATTTTGGAATCTCTATATTGGTGGATCCAGAAATGGTGAAATCCTTAAATCTCCAAATCCTTAAGTCTCCAAATCTTCAAATTCCCGTCTCCAATTTTCTGAATCCCCAATTTCCCAAATCCCAAATCCACAAATTCTCAAGTTTCCCTAAATCCCAAATTCAACAAATCCCCTAACACAATCATCCAATAACTAGCAGTAGTTGTTATCACCTCTTCCTCCAACATTTCCTTAAAGTCTACCATGCTCACCGCTGTACAAGTTCATTTGCTTAATCTAAGCTATAACGCTCATTAATGATTGATTCTAGTAGAGTACAGTGTTAACTTGTTCGTAGAACTTCTTTCGTGAAAATTGTATGTGATACGACAGCAACAGACTGTTCGTCATGTTCTAACGATTTCCTTGCCTCGAGCGTTTTGCTTGAATCCGAACTATATAGATAGTCATGTAATTCTGCTCATGTACAACGAATAGTATCGATTGGGTTTCATTTACCGTACTTGTTGCGTATTTTAAATCCAATGTTTTCAGTCTGTACGTTCCGTAATATCTACTAATTCTACGAATACATGCGAGTACTGATAAGAGTATTTACGTTGCAATCGTATCTATCCGTATGATGTATGTATATTAATTTCTAAATCATATGTTACAACCATTGTGAATACTTTGAATGAACACTTTAAATATTTTGTTAATTCATACACGTAACAAACTTCATTTTTGTCTTATAATATTATAATTAATATTTTATATCTGCAAACAATATTATATCTGCCCCTTCAATAACACAACCATCTCATCAAAAGTTGACACCTGAAGTGGAAACGAAAATATATTACTTTATTATAACATAATTAATTCAATAATTTGTAAATGATAATTTGTCCAAAACAGTGGTATCAGTAAATGTTTAAAAGAAATACAAGTTATCGACACAAAGAGTTGTCAGGACGGTACCGTTAGCGCCATGCAGTTGCAAAACGTTGTACTATAACAACAGACATTCTACTGATATTGCAGAAATACCAAACCTGCAATAAATCAGAGATTTTATGCCCTCTACAATTTAGAGCGGTGAGTTCAGGAATTACGTACATACACAGTTGAATACCAACAGTTATGCATGATTATTATTTTATAATTTATAGCAGATACAAATATTTACAATTTTTTTTAGACTTATAACTTATTGGGTTTAAGAATTAAATCGCGACTAGATACTAACTTCACACACGTCACTGACATGATATATTTAATGCGGATCAGATTCCAAGTATAAATTATATGATTTTTCATCCATCAGAGTTTTTACTTCATCTGGATGACTTAATTCTATTTTAAACAACCATCCTTCTTCGTAACAAGAGGTGTTAACTAAACTTGGTGTTTTTTCCACTGTTTCATTTTTTTCTATTATTTTTCCACTAACAGGACTGTACAATTCAGAAGCAGCTTTCACTGACTCTAATGCTCCACATTCAGCTAAAAAATTAGTTTCAATTAAATTTTTTTTTAATTTTAAGATGTATAGAAATAAGTATTCATACCTCCTTTTTCTATGTTGCTTGCAACGTCTGGAAGTTGAGCATATACAACATCACCTAAAGCTTCTTGGGCATATTTGGATATTCCAACTGTACCTATTTTGCCATCAATTGTTATCCATTCATGTCTGTCTGTGTATAGTCTATCTAAAAATTAAAAATATTTTATTCGTAAATACCTTAATGACATTTGTATACAAAAAATAATATTAATATAAATTATTCCTATATCAAAAATTACAGCTTAACATGCAAAGTTTTGATTCTTATGAAAATCTAATTTTTTCAAGATGATTTTTTATATGGAATAAATAATTTATAGTATTTCCACAATTGAGATGAACTAAATTTGTGATGTAACAGTTGTGTTGCTTTAACCGCAATTAAAGACCACCAAATACAGTAGTAAAATTAAAATCTTATTTATTGAGCATATTTTTCTTTAATGAATATAATTATTTAAACTTACCGGCTCTTAAATATCGGCTAGTAGCGATAGAACGTGAGACACTTAATGACACTTTTGGAGTGGTAAAACTAAATAAATTTTCTCTTGAAACACATGGAAATGTCCTCGTAGTTAATTTTCTCATCTGTGCAATTACTTTTGCCATTATTAATTTTATTTACTGCGCTCCGAAACAATTAAAAAGGTTAACCTCACTATCCTCGCGCAGTCTGCAATGTTTTCTCGTTAACTAAGTTCATAAATTTTCCGTAGTGTTGCCAGTATTTAATATGAATGAAAAGGCGCGATTCGAACGAATGTTAAGAAATTTCTGTAAAGCGTTGATTCTTCTACTATCGATTATCCTTATCTCACAAAATACATTTCATCATTCAAACTAATATAGAACAAATATACATACTATATATATGTAGTACGAATAATTGCTTAATAACTAGTCACGTGCGACAGAGTTTTTATATTGAATTATATTATTTATTTGGACGTAAAATATTAAAAATTGTTTAATAAACATGCACTATGCAAAGTCCATGTATATACAATAGATCAAATAAATGAAAAGTCATCATGTTGCACAAATTATTGCTACAGAATACATATAAGTAACATAAATTTTTAATACATTAAAAAAAACTTTATGTGGAAAATAAGATCCTGCATAATATGCATCTAAATAATAACACATTTCATGTATTATTCAAGTGAAAAGAATAGAATAATTTTTTAATTTTTACAATATAAATGAAGTTTCTATACTTTTTAATAGTATTTTGTATTTTTAACACTTTAAGAGAATACATAATGTTATTGAAACTCTTAACTGCGATCACGTGAGGTTAAGAAGGCAGCAACACTTCACAGATAACTTGTAATTTATGTTATCAAAGTTGTACAATATCAGTGACCTCCGTGTACACACGGTCAATACACAAACAAAAACATTGGTTCTATTGTAAGAACATTTATTGAACTATCTCCATAATGCATCTTGACAAATTCATATTGGTACGTGATATTCGATTTAAATGATTATTTAATTACAATTTTTTGATTACATTATACAATGTTACAGCTACATCTCATTCTGTGAATGTACTTCAAAATTTTTACATTAATTTAAAAAAAGTTTTTTAACAAAAAGTTATGAAATATTTAAATTAGAAAGTACTACAGTATTTGTCATGTAAACTAATAGTTATCATTTTGCAAAATAATTATTACATAGAACCATTGCCGTGGTACTGTTACAAAGACGTCTTAACATAATATTTTTCCCAGACAAATTAATTATAAAAATACTGAACTATAATCCTATTGTATAAAAGCGACCATTTGGATTATGAACTGGTCCTGGTACTGGTTTACTAATGCACCATTCGTACCAAACATTTTTAGTACTACATTGACGCCAAAAATGAACAACTATTTGGTCCCCTGCTTTTAATTGCACCGGTTCCTTTGGTAATAAATCGCACATATTAGTAATTCTAAATTTTGATCATAAAAACCTGCCTTACCTTAATCGGGAAAAAAATAGGAAACCAACTGAACATTCCAGGGCTACGGGTGCTGGGCTGTATGCTTAACATAACATCTTTATATAAAACTGTATCAAAATACCCCGAGAAACCGTGTAATACACAATTTTGTTGAACCTCAAATGTCTTTACCTCATATCGCGAATTATCGATAACATTTTCTAATAAAATAAAAGCAGGGTTAATTTATATTTGACGACTATAAACATATAAATATTATTAATTTACTGACCTCTGTTTGGATGTTTAAACGTAAATAAAGGTTGTGGTTTAGCTATGACATACTTATTCTGTAGATGGACTACATACGCCGTTTCAAAATGAGCCAAAGGATGTTTATCTTTATCACTACAGTGTCTTACTTCATTATATAATTTCGAAGATTGCACAGGAGCAATATATGAAGTATATGAACATGGTATGCTTATACCAGTCTCTAACGGGATATCATACTGTTTAATATTTCATAAAGAACAACAGTATTTTATATGTAATTAAACATGTACCTTTTAAAAATCGTTGTACGCCATCCAAACATTCCGGAGACAGCTCATTGTCGCCAAAAGAGCCGAGTAATTCAGACACTAAAATATCAGCTTTCTCAGGAGCATCCCAGTCCCTCATATCACAAGATACTACTGTTACCTTGTCTTCCCATACATCCCTTTCTAATGCCTGCAAACTATATAAAAAAGATTACTAAAGTAATAAACGTAAACATCTAATACTATTGAAATCTTACGTTAAAACTGCATTAGGATTTTTTTCTACAGCATATACTTTGATTTTTTGATTCGCCATTTCTGCAGCATTTAGGGACGCGTGAACAAGTGGTCCTCTGCCGGCGCCAACTACCATTATTACTCTAAAATTAAAATAGAATTTTATAGTTTTCATAACAAAATGAAATTCTTTGTATATATTACATTTTTCTAGTGTTATCTTCTGATGTGGACACCGTTTTAAGAATTGCTTGATGTATAGCCGTTTGATATTGTGTATATTTAACAGGATCTTTTTCAAATATTTCATATGTTTGAGATTCAAGATTATCCGACAATGGTTGTAGTGGACATTGCAAATAGTCTTCATACCCACGGGTGAACATTTCAACCGGCCCGCTCATTTGACATCCCTATGTAAGATCTCTCAAATTAAACAAAACTGTTGAAAATGAGTTTTTATTATTTTAACACTTTATGAAACTAAATACAGCTTACCTTCCATAAGTACTCCAAATAATCATGATAATAACCAAGACTTAAATGTCTATTTGCTCCTGTAAGTACAAATTGTACTTCAAGCGCTGCAAACTTTTTCACTAAAGCTTGATGCGCTTTACTTAGAACAGGAAATCCTTTTTTATTCGTAATAAATGACGTGGTTGGAAAGATCAAACATTTAACTGGTTCTCCTAGCCATCTGTCAATCTTATAAGTAAATGAATTTGATTAAACTTGAGTTTCTATATTTTTAATAGTTTATATACAAAATTATATTTAAAATACCTCTTCTTGTTCCGGAAGATCATGGCTTACAATTAATGTAACACCTAACTTCCTGTCATAATCACAAATTGCTCTAAAGGCATTCCACCATTCCCATGGGCTTTCCACCGAATCACATTCCTCTTCTCTGTAAAAATAGGCTTGTTTGATTGGATTTTCCATAGGTACTTGTATCCAAACCTACAAGAAGGTTAAATAACATGTTACAACTATACAACATCTAAAATATTCTTTATAGGAATACCTGTAAACTACATGTGCTTGACAATTTATCACAGATAATTCTAGCAAGGTTTGTGTTATGCTCTATGCCACCTGTCAACTTAAAAGTAACTCCAACTAGACCTAAGTGACTTGCCAAAGTTAATTCTTGAATTAGGGTTTCTTCGCTATTTTTTCTTAAGACACGATTTTTAGAATCGACTTTAATATATGGTGATAATTTACCAATAATTAAATTATTCCAATCTATGAAATAAAGAATAATTATATTATTATAAAATTATTATACATGTATTAATTTACTTACCAGAGCTACATAGCACTAAGTCTGGTCTGGTAAATGGTCCTGTGCGTGTTTTTGCAACACCATATACAAATTCTCTTTTAAACAGTGGGTGAACAAGCGGAGCACATATAAATTCAAATCTATAAATTTATACAATACATTTGACTTTCTTTAATGATAAAATAAAAAAGATCAACATTTATTAGTAATTTCTTCCAACTTACTTAGATGAATTTGCTGCAAAGAGGCATTGACTTATATCTGGTACAGAACAGAAGTCAAGACCACAAGAAACTGGTCTTTGGTTTGTCATTATGCTTCACCATCAAATAAAAAAGTTGATTCCTAAAAATATTATATACATAAAATAACATTCAAAAACTTTGTCATTAGTTTATTTTACAAACACCGGGTATCACTGCTAGACTATTTACTATCAAAAAAATTCTACATGATATATTTTAGTTATCTAAAATGTCAGTCAATTTTGTTTAAATAGAACTGTTCTAATAAAATTGTGAAATTTCTGTTATTGCATTATTAATTTAATTACCGAAAAAAATAAGACAAATACTACTGTCCAAACGCTAATTATGATTTGCACGTGGAAGAGCACCGTTACCTGCAAACACTATTTGCAAAATATAATTGTTCGTTATATTACCGAATTTATATTACTTATGTAACTTGATTTTGAATTTGAATGAAAAAATCAATTTGTCAGTTTTTCTAATTATTATATTTGAATTAACAGCAGAGAGAAATGATTTTTCGAATTAGTCGCTACATAGAAATTACATATCCGATGTCATTACATGATTTTATGCAATATATTTAAAGAATATTTTTTATGCTATCAATATTATAAAATAATTTATTTAATGTGATAACAGTAATTTTTATACTTAAAAAAAAAATTGTTATTTTTAAAAAGATTAAATGCATTAAGGTAGAATCCATATGTATAATATAGATACCGAATGAAAGACAACCAATTAAAACCAAGAATCGTTTTTAGTGTCGTCCATTTTGAACTCTGTTTTCATTGTTCTAATTTATGGTAGACGCTTGGTGACTCCATTTCCTTGTGCGTTCCATTCTGTCTCCTTTTTGTGTGGTATTGTTGAGATTATCACTTTTCCGGTAAGTATTTCCTTAGTCTTTTATTTAATTTAAACTAAAAATATCACATCAAATATTATGCGATATTGTATGAATAACTTTGGTTTAAAATGAAGAGAAATTCATGTAATAATAAAAGGTTTTGAAATTCAACATTTAGTCACATTGCACGGCGTCGTTTGGTATGTAAAACATTGATTAAGAAAAGAATGAAAGAATCATTTCTTTTATCGCATATTACATTTATCTTTATTTTTATGTAAAATTGAATTAGTCTAATTGCTTATTACTTTTTTATAGAAACTTAAGTAATGAAATTATTACGGATTTTCCAACTTTTCATATCAGAAATCGACGCCCTTCCATGCTCCACTTAACATTAACAATTTGTAATATAAAAATTTAAGTTCGTATGATAAGATAATATAATTTTTACTATACAGTCATATCTTAAAATAGAAAATGAATGAAATAAAGTTCTTCTGAATTTCTTATCAAAGATAATAAAATATTATATGTAAGTTACTAATTACAAAAGTTGAATCTAAGGACTATGGTCTTCTTAAATAAATAAACAGATCAAAAACAAATATTGTATTGATAATATTTTGATCTTGATTGAAATTCTTTTCAAAGTTGAAACATCCAATTTTGATTTGATCATACAAGCAAAAAATGTCATCTTATAATTTTACCATATATTTAAAATACATTTAATTTCCAGGTACAATGTCTTTCAATCGGGGAATAAAACGTGATTCCTTTGGGAATCGAAGTTTCAATAATCGAGGAGGTGGTGGTGGTGGAGGCGGCGGTGGTGGCAGAGTTAGTAACATGGGTGGAGGAGGAGGCGGTATGGGTGGCAATATGGGTGGTGGAATGGGTGGAGGCGGAGGAGGTGGTGGAGGTGGTGGAAGTGGAGGAATGAACCCTTGGGAAGGAGGAATGATGCCTGGTAGAGGAATTTTACCAACGCCTAACAATAACTTATCCTTAGCTTCACCACAAGCACAATTGGCAATAGCTAGTAATCTTCTTACAAACTTGTTACGTAGTCAACAAGAAGTACAACCACAGGTGAAACAATTCCTTTTAAAACTATTATTTGTGATCATTATAGAGGTTTATTAATACAATTGTACATTTCCAACAGGTACCATCACTTCTCAGCCTTGGCAATAATTTTTCTGGGCCAGGTCCTAACTTTCCAAACCAGCAGAACTTTTCCTCTGGACGATTTAACGATCGTCCTGTTAGACATCCGATGAAGAATCAACGGCCACAACCGTATAATAAGGTATGAATATCAATTTTACTTAAAACGTGGATCATTTCGAGTGGAAATTTAAGGGCAGCAACCTTTGGTCCACACTTCTTTTTTTTTTACATCAACAACATCAAATCTTATTCTGAAAGTTAGAAATTCTCTTTCTTATGTTCATTGATTGATTCATTAATAAGGTTTTCAGTCAATGGATGACATTACTATATGCCTATCCTCGAAGTTATTAAACATAAACAATTCTTAGTGTTGGAGTAGTTTTGTTGCACACGATTTTCGTAGGAGAATTAAGTACTATCGCAAAGTTATTTCATTTAAAAACACGGTAACAAGACGTGTGATTGATTTCAAAATAGAATTTCACGTTTTTAGTAGTGGAAGTTAATCTTGTCTTTGCCTAGCAAATTTCAGTACAGACTTGCAGATATATTTCTCCTCTGACTTGGTCCACTTACAGTCAACCCAAGTCTTCTATTCGTCATTGCAGCTAAAACCAATGGAAGAATATTACTCAAAAGTATTGATTGCAAAGTGCATTTTTCATTGATTTAGCTTCTTCTTCTTGTTGATTATTTTTCATTGAACTTTATTGAACCGTGCTCAAAGGAAGAAGTATGTGTTTTATAAGTATCATATTATGATCAACGTGATCATTGCTTATACAAAGTTAGATGATGCTATGATTGTATGCATCTTCAACTGTCTACTACTATTTTCCTTTTCCCTTCCACTGTAATGTGGAAACACTGACCTTTGGTGTTCTTTGAAACACTAAAATACGTCCTGCTTCCGAATTGTGTAGAATATTTTTCTCCCTCAAGTATCCCAGTGGTTGTTGAAACCAGATTCGATTCGAGAAGAATCACAATTATATCAGATACTTCTCATGACGGTTTGGTCATTTGACCTACATGACTAGATGGGCAATCGCGCCCGTGATGGCCCTGCTGGGCGACGTGGTCCATCTGCACAACAATCTCGTGCACCCCAGTCTGGCAATCAACGTATGAATGGAAACCAAACTCAACATCGCAACGATAAATCTTCTAAACCAATTCCTGCCTCTAAACAAAATCAGACTGCCAAAAAGGAACAGCAGGACGTTAAGACCTCTGATAATGAAAAAGCAGAAGCACCTGTTGTAAAAAGGTAAGCTCCTGGTGATTGTGAATAGTTTCTTCAAACTTCAGTAAGTCTCATTCTCTCACCTGTCTCTGTATGTATGGTGTTTCTTACATACATACGGTATAATTGCTATAAAATTAGCATTGTGCCCTTTCTTGTCTGATTTAAAAGAAAATATATACATATATATTTTATACATGTCTGCATAGTAACATTTTATATATTCATCCCCCATTGTTGGTTAAACTCAACTCACATTTCAAATTCAATTTAAATTATCTACAAATCTGTAACACTAATATTTCACTGTCATATACGATATGTCCCATATGCTGTTCTTTTGATACACATTATTCAATATACTATTCATAATTATGAATAAATTCAAATTTTTGTGTAGCTGTTAGAAGTGTGAGTTATCTTCTTTCGACTTAATATTATGTGCAATTTCTTAGTTATTGATACAGAAAATTATTTGTACTAAAATATGTTGAACATATATTTCAATTATCTTAAAGAAATACCGATAATAAATATAATTACATAGTATTTCTAAGTATAATACAAACATTGTGTCTGTTTTTATATTAGTGAAGAGAACGAAGAAACTGATGAGAAGAAACGTGATTGGAAAAATGAGAAAAGAGAAGTTGCTGACACCCAGCCTGCTAAAACTGATGAACCAGATGAGAAGGCTGAAGAAGATTCAGAACAAAAAGCAGATACATCCACGACGGAAGAAGCTGCAAAGGAATCAAATACGACTGAAAAGGATTCGAAAATGACTGGCAAGAAATCTGAAGCTAGACATGCTGAAAGTCGTTATGCAGAGGTTCCTATGAGTCACATGTTTTGCCACATATGTAATAAACACATGTGGGATGGATATGTATGTATTAATCTTTGCTTATTTTTATAAAGTTACAATTAAAATTTACCTCTAACTGTTAACTTCTTTTTTCTAGTCCTTTGAAAATCACTTAAGAGGACGAGCGCATCAGTTGATGATGGAGAAATTAGACGAATCATATAAATTGAAAGTTGACTTAATGAGACATGAATTAAGAGTAGCGGAAGAACAACGCGAACTTAGTTTGACTAATTCGAAACGTCGTGGAAAGAAAGTGAGTATCAAGATATTTCATAACGTGATCTTAACAAATACGTTATCGATTTATTTTCATTTTCCTAAGGTTTCCGTGGATCTCAACGTCCGAGAATATTGTACGATGTGCGATTTGAACTTTTATGGAACGTTGTCGACGCATAGAAAGAGCGAAAAACATCAGCAGTTAAAAACATTTTTACATCCAAGATGCTTCCCTTGCTTGAAAGAATTCCCATCGCGGATTGAATATGATGAACATTGTTTAACTCCCGCGCATATGAAAAATGCTGTACAATGTGAAGAACAACGGAAAAACAAAAAGAAAGGTATGTAACAATAATCTATACTATAACTTCTCAGTTATTTTTAAAAAGTGTATATATTTTTTCCATAATTTTCCTTTTGTAGAAAAACTTGCTAAAGGAGAAGCTGAAGTACGTACTGCCGAAGATGAAGAAAAAGATGTAGGTCCTGATAACAAAAATGAAAAGGAAGAAGATACTGCGGGAGAGCAGGAATACATCACAGACATTGTTGAGAATTTAAGCGAAAAAAAGTTCAAAATACCTTCTTACAAATATTGCCGACAGAATCAAATTTCTATCGGTAAGTACTCATACTATACATTCAGATAGTGTTTTTTATTATATATAGATTTGTATATAATATATTTATTTTTATGCAGGAAAATCATTGGTGAAAGAAGTTCAAGGATTTTATTGTGAAAAGTGTAGGAGATTTATGCTTCTAGCTGATGACATGAATGCTCATTTACGTAGCATTACTCATTATCGAAATTTCGTACAAGAAGTAAAAGCTTTAACTACGAATACAGAAACTGCCGAACAAAAACCATCAGAAAAATCTGAGGTATAAGTCAATTATGAAAATAAAAATGGACTGTTCTTAATATTACTTTGAATGCAGTATTTTAATATACTATATTTTTATGTTTAGACTAATGAAAACGCTCAAGAAAATGCTGAGGAATATGAAGGAAATTGGAAACGTTGTAAACTTACTAACTCCGAAGAAGAAGATAATGTTGAAATGAAAGAAGTACAAGAAAATAGTACTGAAAATTCAAATGCTCAGAAGAAAGCCGATGGAGATGAAAAATACGATCCACTTGAAGCTGATGCAGAATCCGAAGAAGAAGAACCGCGTGAAACTGAAAACGCTAATGAACAGTCATCACAAAATGCTACTAATACTCCGGAAAAGAAGACACCTGTCGATAAAGTGTGGGCTGATATTGATAATGATAACGAAGCAGAAATAGGTAACTTAATTGATGATGGAGAAGAGAAAGAACAAAGTATTGAACATGAAAAATCTATGCAAAAGGTAGATAGAGAACAAAATCCACCAATGAAACCATCCCGCGGTCGAGGTTTTGTACGTGGACGCGGTAGTCCTCGAGCACGAAGGGCTCGACGATAAAGTGAGATCTATTCCAAAATAGATAAGTTTGGGTGTAGTATATAATCATTGTATCTCTTAATCTTGCATCTACTATTAGGTTTCATTAGATTTATCTTTTTAAGTCATCGATGTTTAAGTAATTTAACTTTTATTATACCATTTTGACAAGATGTATGTATGACTATCTTTTTACATATAAGAAGAGAAAATACTAATACCATTCATATTCATGTACAAAGATAAAGTGAAAAAACTTACTAACAATTTTTATTCGAGGTTATTTAAAGCTTTTTAAATGAAATATTGTTATGACGAACTGTAGTATGTACAGTTTGCTGAAAAGAAAATAGTGTTACCGCGTATCACCGTTAAAATAAACTTGAAACTACACATATACATGAAGAAATATTAGTATTGAAGTGTTTCGATAAAATATGTCGATGGTTTTTTAAATAATAATCATATTATGGAACTAGTATAAGATTTATTCCTATTAGGCATGTATTGTTGACAGATTTAAAAATATCTTGTGGTAATCATTAGTATGTATTTCATCAGATTTATGCCTAATTGTGACAAAATACTTGTAATCGATCAATTATTAATATGATTTAATTTCTTTTTTGTAATAAGATAGTAAAATTATTTTGTGACAAGTAAGGCGTTTTCGATATTAATATAAAAATTGCACGTTATCAAATACTTACTTCATAAAGTATCAGTTTTTAATTCCAATGTAATATGCATCTTGTCTCTGCATCTGATATAATATTCTACATGAAATTATTTAATTTACTAGAAACAAATTTGCGTCCATGAAAGTTCGGCTATAATATAGCCATGCAATATATCTCTATGATAAGTGATATAATTTTCATTATTTCTTTATATGTACTACTTATCTTTATTTGTGTAAGAAACATAAAGGACAATGATTGTTTACTAAAGCACTTAATAAAAAATGATACTGTATTTGTAAATCATTGAACATGTTTTCATTCCAACATTGGATTACTGTGTAATAATATTGTAGAATGTATAAAATAAACAGCATAAACCGTACAAAATATTTTGTATTGAGACATACATATTTTTTAATTCCACATATATAAACGACTTAAAAACGAAAAGAAATTAATATAAGTAATTGAACTAATGTGAAAATATAAATTACTTAGAAAAGTATGAATATTTACATTTAAGTTCATCAGCAGTTATCAGTCCATGGAAAGATGAGTTGCCAAGAATTCATCTACAGAATCTGTATCCCATTTATGTATATCCAAAATGTCTTCAACTTTATTATCTGCATCCAGTAACTTAATTATTGGATCCAAGCCTCTAACATATTTTATTTGCAGATTCTTATATTTACTTGGTCGGCTGCTTTTTATAAATGCTGAAAATGATGTAATTAGTAAAACAGAGATTTTAGGTTCAGACTATTAATATTTACCTTGAATCTGTGGATATGCACCAAACTTGCAAGTACAAACTTCAAGAATAGCACGTGGATAACGTTTTGATCCAGATGTATCATAATCATCATCTTTCAAACAACATTCCTTACAGTTGTTCCTATAATTTTTAAAGATTCTTTTTGTTTTATTGAAGAAAATGTCATATTGTATTGAGTTTAATTCTCGTTTGTTTACCATATCTCAGTCAAGTCACGTTTATTAAATTCTTCACATGTTGAACAAAGTAAATTGGCCTTATTAAAACCTAAGAGTTTGCAATCATCAGCAGAAAAGTCTGCTGATACAATATTGGTCTGAAAATATATTAATTATTTGCATATAATTATATTAATGTCATAATAGCTGATTACTCTAAACTTGTCACATTTTATAGGCTATGTAATAATACTTTGATTGCTTACCATTACACTGAATGAAAAAATGCATAATGATATTACAGAATTCATTATATTATATTATGTTTTATATATATAATAAATTAAATGTCTTATATATTATTTATGAAAAATATAAATTGCATCCGTAAACACGTTTCATACGCGTTACGAACAGGTACAGATTCTATGATACTAACAGATATACTCCATTCAGCGTCGGACATACTCATCATACGACGGATTTTCATCATAGATCCATTCGTTCTGCGCATATAAACTCTCATTGAACAGACTATAGATATAACTTCTATATATACTTACTACACATTTGACGAACATGCACATGTGTTGTACATGCATCTATGTAGTAAATGTATATATAATATGTATGTTTATATACAGATAATACAAATGTCAGCTTAAACGAATGTATGTGATCTACGGAGATCAAAATTATACAGAAATTATATTTAGACTACAAATATTTTGAATATGATATGAACAAGAGTGTAAATAAGATATTAAAGTCGAACGATACATAAGTAATTTTTTCATTCGCAAAAAAATAAGCCGTATGTGAGAAGTTTCATTCATAACAAAGTAGTATTATAGGTTACTTTTTTACTTATTATGGCACAGTCAACAGCTAGTGGAACATCTTCTCGACGATATATAAGAGAACATGATGTTAACGTACCATCTTCGTCACGCTATGTGGACAGTGAGTGGGAAACCAAAGAGGTGATTGTTATAATTCTTAATAGTTATTAAATTATTAAAATTGATAAAACAATTTTTTCACTGTAACATATTATTGTAATGAAATACTTTAATTCATCTGTAAAAGTAATATTTTTAGGCTTTACGACAAAGGGAACTTGAAGAAGCACGAGCACGAGCGGCTCAAATGGAAAAGACAATGAGATGGTGGTCAGATTGTACTGCTAATTGGCGTGAAAAATGGAGTAAAGTACGTAATGAGAGGAATATGGCCAGAGAGGAGGCAAAGATGCTTAGAGCTAAGTTAGAGATTGCTGTGAAGGATGCCAATAGTTATAAACACGAATGTCAGGAACTTGAATTACAAAATGACCAATTAAAAAAAGAAATGGAGAAGATACATATGATATTATTGAAACATGCTGGGCAATTTGATCAACAAATTTTTACAGTTTTAGAGTCAGATCCACAGTTAAGAAATACATTAGGTATAGATGAATTAATCAAATTTTACAATAATGTAGAACAAAGTGAACGTGTAAATACTCAAAAGGATTTACTTACTTGCAAAGCATCACTTGAAGAAACTAATGTATGTTTAGGAGGTCATAGTATTCTACCAGACAGAGATATTGAAGAATACGTGTTACAAGGTGCAGTGCCAAAGCATGCTGTAGAATTATACAAAGAAAGTTCTATTAATTCATTAGATAAAGATATTGCAAGATTAGTTACGGATACAAGTTCTGTAGAAGATAATGTAGAGAAAAGTCAGTCTTCGATTCAAGCATGTACCGATGAATCTTATGCACAAAAATTATTAACACTTCAATATAAATTAGATGAAGCTACAAAAACTATATCTACAGAAAGAGAGTAAGAATAACATAATTATTTATTTACACAAATAACTTTAATCTAATAGATTTGTTTCATTTGTTAGAGAGAAAAATTCTTTACACCGTGGTATGGAGAAATTAAAAGCAGAAGTAATGCAATTAAGAAAGCAGTGTGGAGAACTAGAAGAAACTAAAGATGAGGCAATAAAGGAATTGCTTGAATTAAAAGAACGGTTTCAATTTGAGTTGACTGATGTGCAGGCTGATATACTCGATGAAGCTTCGAGTAGGGAAGGAATGAATCGCCGTTTAAGTGAACTTAGAGCTGAAGTAATTTTTGTGAACATATAAATAATGAAAAAAGTTTTCTCTTTCATCCTAATTGTTATTTATTTTTCATTATATATTAAGAATAAATTTTTATATGTTTCAACTATATGATTCCAGTTAGAAAAGCTTCAAGTTGAAAATGCTGCAGAATGGGAAAAACGAGAACGTCTGGAAACAGAAAAAATTTCTTTAGAAAGGGAAAATAAACAACTTCGGAATGAATTACATGATTTACAAGAGAGAATAGAGTTCCGACGATCTCGTCCAGTTTCTACATCTGATAGTGATACTAGACAACTGCAACAAGATTTCTTAGTTAGGAATGTGGTTTGTATCATGTGCCAACACTTTAATTTAAATGTAATATATGTATATTATATTATCTATAATAATTACATTAATTATCAGACAATATTGAAGAAATCTTTGGAAGAAAAAACAACGGAACTTTCACATGCTATGAGAAGATCAGAACAATACGAAGCAGAAGTAAAAAGAGTAAGAGCAAGAGTGGAAGAATTGAAGAAAGAGTTAGCTTTAGCTCAGGATGAAGTAGATGCTGCAACCAATAGTGTTCGTAAATTGCAAAGAGCAAATGAAGATCTCTTAGAGCAATTAGAATCTGCTAATGTACAATTGGAACATTTTCGGAACAGGTAAATAACTTTAATACCTAATAGTAGTTTTGTAACATTATACATCTACATTTTTCTGGATGAACTATAGAACTTACACTGACAATTAATTTGTTATCAGTACTGATCCTTACTCAGTAGATGTAGGAACGGGAGAAACTGTTGAAGAAAAATTATGTATAATTAACGATGACAAATTAACAAATGGTAGGTTTTAACATTTTAATATATTTGGTAATTGAGAGGTTATAATTGTATTTTATAAATACTGTTTCAGAGCATGAATCTCAACAAGCCTAGTATTTACTCATTTCAATAATAACGTTGCATTTAATTTGAATGACGATTATGATACTTGGAATGTAAAAAACATTTTTTTATGTTCTAAGCTATATATTACCAATCAAGTTAGCAATAACTTTTAATGTATAAAACGCTGATGCATAAGTAAGATTTATTTATTTGATAAATGAATTTAAATAGCGAAAGCCACTGCCTATTTAGACATAATATCATTTAGAATCATTACTTCACTCTTTCAATTTTATATCATTATTTGTCCTTTTTTTATTGTATATATTATTTTTTAAACACTTTTTTTCTTTAACAAATTTGTGAATAAGACTTTGAATATTTTCTTACTTGTATAAAGCTTACATTCCAATATACTATATTTTAAACATGTTTATTGTATGTATATAAGTAATGTATATAACTTAATATGTATATGTAATTACGAAGTTTACCTGTTACCTAAAGACTGGTAAAATTAGATCATTATCTAGATGAGAGATGTTCAATGATACCTGATATTTATAATTAAAATTTTCGCTCTATTACAAATGTTTGTAACATAAAAAAATAAGAAATTGTAAGTGTATTTATGTCTATGTTACATAGTAATTCTTATCTATTTAAATTTATATTTGTAGTAGATTTCAAGAAAATATTCAATGTATATTTATTACTGGATGTAATTCGTTAATGAAGGAGAATAGAAAACAGAATTTCTTGTTTGTTTAACGTGTATTTTATTGATAAAAAAAGATAAATACTAAAAGCTGATGTAGCGTTATCAAATCAATAATGTACACTTAGTACAAGTACCTTGATAAAAATGATGTGCAGTATGTGTGAGCAAAATAATAGAAGTATGATTATATTCATAAAATGTATGAATGTTCATAATGTTCATATTAATACAAAAAATAGAAAAAAAAGAAGAATGATCTAAATTGTAATAAAAACTATCTCTGTAATATTAGTATGATATAAAGTATTCTATGAAGAAAATAAAAGTTTTTATAAACAATATGATGTTAATAACAATTATTTAACATTTCATAGGTGTACCATCAGGATATGTTGGCATTTTTGGTTTACAAATTTTTGTTCTGCCATTAGAACCATATACGACATTACAAGAAAACGTGAAGTATCCACAAGTTGAACTCTTAGTATAATAACGATGTTCATATTTTCTTGGTGAACTTTTGCTATCATCCATCTTACCAGCGACACTGTTTGTCACTGTATAATAACTCGGCTTCATTGGTATATTTGAGGGCTTTGAATTTTCGTTGGTACGACTTGGAACTGGCGACAAATGATCTTGTCTTCCATTAGAAGGAACATGATCTTCAGTCAATCTTTCACGATTAGTTTTAAGTGATCTGGTTTCCGAGACAGGTGATTTATTACCGTGATTCGGCTCTACTGGAACCAAAGAAACAGACTGAGATTGAGATTTCCCATCACCATGAGCAACAGTTTCGCTACCAGCTACTGATGTTACTCTGCCACGGAAGCCAGGTGGTATAGTGTATCCTGACACTGACTGTCCAGGTTGGAACATGTCTCCAACTTGTGCTGTGTTAGCATCCTGCTTGATATGAATATCATATTGATTTCCAGTCGCAAGATGCACCGCTTGTGACTGGTGACTCTGTTCTCCGTCATCCTCATCGCCGTCATATTCCTCCTCATAATCATATGCCGTATCATCCAACTGAGTTTGTTTAATCTCCACATTTTTAGAGTTCTCATTCGCCGTCTGTTTAACAAAGACTGCCTTCTGTGAACTGGGACTTGCCTGTAAACCCTGTTGATATTTATCTTGATTATATTCATAATCAATCTCCGAAGACGTATTCGTTGCGTCGCTATTATTTTTCGTAATATGCGGAATGTAAGATGGTTTAAACGATTTAAATAATTCGGTATCCGTGAGGTTGAAGCTGAACGGTTTTCTAGAAGCTGCAGCACCAGATCCTGATCCTGCCTGTGCAGCACCGGTGTAGGTGATTCCATATTGGAAGGATCCTTCAAGTTGAGACTGAGATTGTCCTCTGTGTGTTCCACTTTGGGCAGAAGCTGTTCCACCTCCTCGGAAAGGTCTCGAATGTCTTTCTACCTTTTCATCCGTCTTCATATAGGGTTGGAAGCCGATCTGTGCTTGACTCGAAGTACTTCCTTCACCGTTTGCTTGAGCGTCCGCCATTCCTCCTTTCGAACTTGCTTGCACCTGAGAATTCGTACCGTGGTTCCAACCACTACTCTGTGCACCTGTTGATGTGGCACCGGATTCTGAATCTAACTGAACTTGTGCTTGACTTTTCCCATAACCACCTGTTCCTTGAGCATTGCTTGTAGCACCGTCTTTACCACCACTAATTTCAGTTTGAGCACTCTTGTTAACGTCAGTACTACCAGCTTGTGCCGAAAATGACCCGGAACCACTGTATGTACCTGATACTTGAGATTGAGCTGTTCCTTGTCCATATTTTCCTTGGGCTGATGCACTGGCTTGAGTACCTGCGTCAGTTTGCTTTACAACGCTGGATGCTTGAGAGTTGGAATTATCGTCCTCTGCGGATGGAACGGCTGGTTGGAAATACTGAGAAGTTTCTCCAGTTGGGCCTGATGGATACTGTGATCCTGGATATTGTCTGATATTTTGGCCATCAGGATATTGTTCGACTGGTTTCTCTCCAGTCTGCCATGCTACAGGGTATTGTCCTTGTGGATAACCTGGATATTGTCCTGCTTGTGTGTATCCAGGGTATTGGCCTTGTGGATACCCAGGATATTGTTCTGGTTGTGGGTAACCAGGAACTCTATCAGTATGTGGTCTAGGACCTACTGAAGTATCTGGATATAAGTTTGCAGTTCCTGGACCCGTTCCTGTACCTCCAGGAATTTGTCCAGTTTGACCTATTTGACCACGAGTGGCGTCTGGTGGGATACCTCCAGGATACATTACATTACCAGGCATTCCTCCAGGGTAAACTACACCCTCAGTACCAGGTACACCGCCAGGATAAACTACACCTGGACCAGTTGTACCAGGCGTGCCACCAGGATAAACTACACCTCCAGCTGTACCAGGTGTGCCACCAGGATATACTATACCTCCAGTACCAGGTATACTACCAGGATAAGTTGCCCCACCAGTTGTAGTACCAGGTGCACCTCCGGGATAAGTTCCACCACCAGTTGTGGTACCAGGTACTCCTCCCGGATAAATTACACCCCCACTAGTTGTTCTATCAGGTACACCACCAGGGTAAACTACACCACTTCCAGGTACTTTTCCAGGATATACTTCACCACCAACTACTCCACCAGAAGGTATGGTGCCAACATAAACTCTAGCATCTCCAGTTATTGTAGTACCAGGAACACCACCAGGATAAGTTCCACCACCAGTTGTAGTTCCAGGTACACCTCCCGGATATATTACACCACCACCAGTTGTAGTACCTGGTACACCACCAGGATAAGTTCCACCACCAGTTGTAGTTCCAGGTACACCTCCCGGATATATTACACCACCACCAGTTGTTGTACCGGGTACACCACCAGGATAGGTTCCACCACCAGTTGTAGTACCGGGTACACCACCAGGATATATTACACCACCACCAGTTGTAGTACCGGGTACACCTCCAGGATAAGTTCCACCACCAGTTGTAGTACCGGGTACCCCACCAGGATAAGCTGTACCACCATCAATTCTAGCACTGGGTACACCTCCTGGATAAGATACACCGCCACCACCACTTGTTGAAGTACCAGGTATTCCTCCAGGATAAACTACAGCACCACTAGTTGCTGTCACACCAGGTACACCGCCAGGATAAGTTACTCCACCACCAGTTGTAGTACCAGGTATACCACCGGGATAAGTACCACCACCACCAGTTGTAGTACCGGGTATCCCTGGAGGATAAACTGCACCACCATCAATCCTAGTACCAGGTGTACCTCCAGGATAAGTAACACCACCACCTGTTGTAGTACCAGGCATTCCTCCAGGATAAGTTCCACCACCACCGGTTGTTCCAGGCACTCCACCAGGATAAGTTCCACCACCACCAGTTGTTACAGTACCAGGTACCCCACCAGGGTAAGTCCCACCACCACCAGTTGTTACAGTACCAGGTACCCCACCAGGATAAGTCCCACCACCACCAGGATAAGTTCCACCACCACCAGTTGTAGTACCAGGTACCCCACCAGGATATGTTCCACCACCACCAGTTGTAGTACCAGGCACCCCACCAGGATATGTTCCACCACCACCACCAGTTGTAGTACCAGGTACCCCACCAGGATAAGTTCCACCACCACCAGTTGTAGTACCGTGTACACCTCCAGGATAAGTTCCACCACCAGTTGTAGTACCAGGTGCCCCACCAGGATAAGTTACACCACCACCACCAGTTGTGCCAGGTGTGCGTACTCGATAAATTACACTCCGTCCATTAGTGCTAGGTATACCCCCAGGAACACCACCGGGATAAACTGCTCCACCATCAGTTGTACCAGGTATATAGCCAGGAGGGAGTACCTTTCCTCCTGTTATGACAATACTAATATTATTGCACTCCATCTGACTATACCAATGTGAAATATATTGTTAAACTAAATAATCTGATGTTAGTACCTGGTGCACCTCCAGGATATAATACGCCCCCTCCACCTGGTGGAGCACCTGGCACACTTGGAGGATAAACTACACGCCCTGCAGTACCTGGTGCACCTCCAGGATAAGTTACGCCACCTGTAATTGCAATGACACTTAAATTAATACCATTGGAACGAGCTGCACTTGTCATCAAAATTAAATTATTAATATTACCTGCATATCTTCCATCTTTTATTAAAGTACCCGGTGCAAGGTCGTGAGGGTAAGTACCTATTGAAATATTAGTTGTATATTAGTCTGATATTGTTATCGTTTTTAAACGAATATTGTTTTATTTTTTCATAATATTTTAGATCTTACCGTCTTGTTTCGGCCCATGAGTTCTAGAATAAGTGGTACCAGGACCTGCACCTGGATATTGAACATATCTGTCTGGAGGACCCTCGCTTGTATATTTGGAACAATCTTCACACCCGATGCTGCCAAACGACATACTTTGCGCCTGTCCCATACCATGACTTCCACCTTAAAACACGTTTCAATCTCCGTAGTTCGATCATGCAATGTTTAAAAGTTTCAAATACTCACTAACGACTGAACGGGAAGACTGTTGAGTAGCCTCAGCTTCAGCTTTACCTTCTTTCTGATCATCGTTACCGATAGCTAAATATTGAGATTGCGTTTGTCCCCGAAATTTTCCTTGCGGTTGTTGCGTTTGTCGCGTTGATCGTAATCGATTAAAATTCTTATTAAGCTCCTCCCTCTTTTCAAGCGCGATTTGTCTTTTGGCTCTGCTTATCAAAGGCGTCAGAAGAACGTCCGCTACCCTTTTTGGAGCGATGTCGTTTTCGTCGTACGGAAGTATATTAAAAAAGGGATCAGTCGTTTTCTCAGGGATGGGTACAGTGTCTTGTAACAAAATAATTTTGCGTCCTTGACAGAAGTCGACTATTCTGCCACCTGCAAGCCGCCATGCCTGTAAAAATATTGCAAACTTTAGTTAAAGAAGCACGGATGATTGTTTATCATTTAAAAATAATTGTATGTACTTCTAATTTCGTCAAGACGTCGTTGGACACATAAAATGTTTTCGGCATTTGATTTTGTCGTAACTTGACGTCCGAGTATTCTTCTGCAATAACATTGTCTCCCAATTTTTCCAAATAACAACTGTTCTCTGTTCTATCTCTATACGCTCTATAATTCTGCAAACAAGTTACAAATAAATATCAGTCGTACAATTTTTTAAAAAACATAATTACCGTTTCATCGTCGGTAAATGTCCATTGTTTCTTTTCTCTAAGTCCGTTTACAGTTGGCGATTCGTAAACGGAACGATCGAAACGTGTTTTCTCCTGAAAAATATAAGAAATAATAAAGTGTAACGATATAATGTTTACTTCGAGAAAGATACGAGACGATAAAGTTTATGAATGAAAAAGTAAAACAGAGAAATTGGAAATGGGTCAAGCTATTTTCTATCGACTTATCTGACGAACTTTGATCTCCAAATCTCTCTTTCAGCTACTTATGGCCAGACACGTTTAATTTTGTATAACGACTTTTGTGAATGAAGGAAAGATGCAATTTGTATGCAGATGTTCATTGGTGCCACAATTAAGGATTCTATGTGCAAAAATATGTCGAATATGTAAAATAAAATTTTGGTGTATATTTTGAGGAAACTGAATTCGGAAATTTCTTTGATATAATCATTAATATAATCAGTTTTCTCAAAAATGAAATTGTACATAAAAAATTGTATTCTGTTTATTTTTTCACATAGAATTTTCATACGAATCTTTATAGAATAGTCTCAAATTTAAAATGTACATGTATCTGATTTAAAATGTACATAGTTAAAAATATTTGAAAAAATAGACGATAATGTATTTCTCTTCGTACAACTATTTTATCGAAATTTTTAAAAATTGCCTCCACTTATTAATTGGAAGAAATGGTTACTTACATAGTATTTCGAGAGTACCGTGCCCGAGAAACAAACAAGGATAACAAAAATCAGCCGCATGGTTCCCTTTTCTTTGGGATCCTCTCTGCGACTGTTAACGCTCGATGATAATCCTGGTAGGTTGAAACATCGACTCCCACCTAAACACCTCTTCCCTTGTCTTCTTCCTCTTCTTCAGCTTATGTTACGAAGCGTCGATGAAGCTTGAGGATTTGGATTAAAGCGGGGAAGGGGGAACGCTTTGATAGGGGCAATTCTAAGAAGCGCGGATATGTAAATCGTGATGTGCGTCTGCACTTTTGTAAGTGTTACGTTATGTTATCTTCTGTCGTTCCATGCTTGGATCTTGTTACCGGAATGTTTTCATCGGAGCTCGTCATATTAATTCTTTCAACGTCGAAAAACCCGATTATCAGTTAAGAAAGGAACCTTCATTTTCTTAACGCTAAAACTACCAAACCGTTCTTCAAGTTTCTTATTATATTGTACACATTTTGTTAAAGTACATTTCTTGAGATCAGAATTGAAGATAAAGAATAAATGTGTGTACTAAATTATATTTCGTCGTTTGTTTATTTTTTTTTAATTTCATTTTTAGTTTAAAATTAAGTACAGTAGTTTAGTGTTAATAGATAACATTGCAACCAGTAATTTTATGCTTCCATTTTGAAATATTCACCACCATTTTGTTATCCTTGCTCAATATTATTTCATCGTTTGAGTTTAAAGTATCATCATTTACTTAAACAATTTCATTGAATAATCTGAAAATTATTCATAGTATCATTAGCTTGTCTTTAAAAAATGTTCACTTTAAATTTTCACTACAGAAATTTTCATTTAAGAAGTGAATTGAAAGAAGTCTTAAGAAGATGTTAATATACATTGTTTCCTGATCTGTCTGTTAACCTGGTATCTCTCTCTATTTGGATCAGTAATAGATAATTGTATCAGCGCGAAATTTCTTTCGGACGAGAGTAATCGTTCCATTTCGCAGTTTCCCCCAAGACGCAAATATCTTTCTAATCGTGCACGATATCGCCTAAAGTCAGCTTATGTGACCACCATCTGACTAAGATAGATTCCCCTTCGTTGCCCTAAATTATTAATTCCAATCCATTTGGTAAATACAGAAAGTCGTTTGTTCTGCTTCAAGACTTTATTTATCTCACAGTTCATCGGTAATATAAGATCGATGAGTAAAATGAAAGTAGAGTAAGAATAAAGTGCTTTGTGTTTCTCATAGTAACCAATTGCATCTATTACATGTTTTCGTCGCAGCGAAAATGGCAAACGACGGTGTAATTAATTTATTTTAAACAGTCATTGCTCACACGTAAAGTTGTACATTTTAATGTTAATCGTTTTCGTTTAAATTTTTTATATGAACTGTAGTCTCAAAGCTTCGGTGTAAAAATATATATTATATACACTGATACGTGTGTATAGTGATATGTATATTTTTCGTTGTAATAAGAATTGTACAATTCGTAGAAAAAAATTGGTAAATTGCTTAGGCACTCCAGTGTACAAATGTTACATTAGATACGTAAAACAACGGTACATTGCGCTAATAGGATTAACAAAAAAAATTGCGATAGTCTAAGTACTAATACATGATACAGGGAATGCTATTTACAACGTGTTTTTTTTATACAACTATACAATACAATATTACATTATTTGGGATCCTCATGTTCGACCTTCGCGAAGATCGATGACTAGGATACGCATCATATACGCTCTCAACTGCAGGTTAATACAAACATAATTACGATTTTACAAAGAAGAAAAAGAACTACACGAAATCTTTATCCGCTGCCATTCGAATTTCTATGCAATCGTGTGAATTTCTATTCTTCATATTTCGCTGAATAAAGTAACGTGCCGATTGAAATACTCGATAAAAATTCGATACGTTGCGTTTTAGAACGGCAGAACGGATTGGACTAGTTTACACTCTGATCGTCGCCGGCTGGCTACAGATCGAAAAAATAAAGAAAAGAAATTCTTAATTATTAAATTAATACGGCTAGAGGACTTAGCGGACTGTGCGGCGACAGTCTGTTCGAAACTTCGAATCACAGACGATACGCGTTTTTATTTAGGAGTCAAACGCGTCTAATGCATTAGAACAGTGATGGGCAATTGTAAATTTTGGTAATTTAGATATTTTGGAATATTTGAAATTCTGCAAAGTATAACTTGGAAAATTACGAATACGTAAATGTACAAATTAAAATATTTGAGATCTTTGAATTTGACAATTAAAACTTGTAAGAATTTAACAATTTAAGAATCTGATAAATTTGAGAATAAAGCACAGTTGCCCATCACTGTATAAAAATATAAAACTACATATGCATGGCACAATACGAAATGACATTCACCCACACAGTAATCTGTCATTTTTAAACGAAATACTTAATTACTACTCAGTACTTTTCTGCATTCCACCTTCCAAAAGTTAATTTCAAAATACTCCTCACAAACGTATGTTACAAAATTTTCTGACGATCCATGATTCGGTAATCCTGACATTTTCTAGCTGCCTGGAAGAGCTCGAGAAACGAATATCGATGTACAATTAATACTAAGGTAATAAGTATGTATATATAGGCACTGCAGATCACTCGAAATCAATAAATTATTTTTATTTCTTAACAGGACGATATGTCTTTAAAAAAACCTGCAACTACAAACAGTTTTAAGGCACGATACTAGGAATTGGTAATCCACACTTTTATCGTTAATCTGACTATGTGCTAAATGGTCCCTAATTAGGAAGGTGCATGGAATAATATTCGTATAATCTCTGACAATGCTTATCAACTGTATTATTTCGTCTCAAAATTGCTTTCTTAACTATAAAAACTCGGGTATTGCTATTAACCCCCGAACGATGAAGCTGGGTTAAAATGAAAATTTTCAAAGAAATCATATGAACAATATTTTAACAATATAACAAATTTTACAATTTAATATTATTTTGGAGAATAAGAATTTGAAGTTGGACCCAGTTTCATCATTCTAAGATTAAGCAAGAATTTCAATTTCCATCTAACTTATCTCAATATTGGTAGGAATGACACTAGTTACTAACAAGTAATTACGTCTTTGTATCTCTACAAAACAATGATTTAATTGTTCATATTGGATAGCAATTCTTTCATGCCTGTTATACTACATTTCATTCAAACTTCAACGTAAGTATAAAGTAGTCTTTGGTATACTATGGAAGCAAACTACTTTACCTGCATTCGATAATGTTTCATTCGATACGATAGAAATGTGGACAGTGCAATGTAGGCTTCCTCCAGTTAAAAATCTGAGTAGGAATTAATTATTGTCTACGAAAATCTAGGTGTACAGATAGTCACAATTTTTCTATGCAATTTGTAATTGAAATATTTAGATATTTGGAGATTTAGGAATATCTCTTGAAAATTCAGAAACATGCAAATTCTAAGTTCTGAAATTTTCTAAATAAAAGATAGCAAAGTTTTCCAAATTCCTAAATCAGCAATTACAGCAATGTATGAAGTATACTTCATACATTTCACTATGGGTCAACCCTGAAGAGATCCCAAAGGGACCCTTAAAAATACTATAAAATATCCCTATCATCCCTCAATAAATTTCCTATTAACCAAAAGAAGCCTACATCTCACTGTACCAGATTTCGTTCTACCGTAACTAAACACCTCATCCCCTATGCGCTTAATTTCGAGCCCTATGCGATTGCCAAATTGAGCGTCATCGTGGTAGGTCTAGAAAACGCGGACGATCTCGTTGGATCCGAGAAGTCGAAGCTGCTGGAAGAGTTCTGGTTATCGTTGAAGCGGCTGAGGTGTTCAGGGTTAGGTGAAATAACGGAGGTCCTGATGACCATTCTGGAGAGGCACTCATCCTTCGGCACGTTGTCCGGTGTCTTTCTGTCGTGTTCATCGATCGGAGTCTTTTCTCTGCAGGAACGTTTCGAGGATGGAGGTAACGTCGATCCATCAGGAACTCTGGTATGTCTAATGATCGCGGAAAATGCCGAAGACGTGCTTCTTTGCTCGCGATTGAGACCTAAACGAGGTACGATGACGCTGGTCGGCGAGGCGGTGACGCATGGGGTCGTTTGAAGTCTGGTCAACGGCGACGAAAGAGTGCAGGGTTTTGTCTTCTGATCGTTGACGTCCATCTTTTCTGTGGACGATCGGTGATGGGCCCTCATACAGGACGATTCTTCGTGTTTGTAGAGGTACGATTTTAACGCGAACGCTTTACCGCAACGACCGCACACGTGTGGCTTGGTGTTCGAGTGCGTCTGGATGTGGGCACGCAGGTTCGACTTGTCGGCGAAGGCTTTGTTGCAGATCGTGCACTTGAAGGGTTTTTCACCTGAGGAAAAGAAAAAGAAGTCAGACAATTCATAGTTGGTTAGATTAGAAAATTGGTAACTAATGTGAGGATCACTATTAGACTACATAACAAAGCTTACAACTAGGTTCTAACCAAAATTGAAATTAACCTTGTTCTTCATCGACTTCAATGCCATAATGATTTCACTTAGTACAAACGTACAATATACAATTGACTTGATGATATGGGAACTCTCATATAAAGACTGAGAACCACTGCCGCAGAAGTTTGCAGAAATGAAAGAACCTGACTGTACAAGTTTCTTATCATCCACGTAGGTAGAAACGTTAAATAAGTAATATGTTATGAATTGCATCACAAATTGCACAATTTACATTATTCAAAGCTTTATATGATAATATTCTGAACGTGTCGTCATTGCAGCTAATTTCACCGTAGAATATTAATACTCGAATCTCTGATAAACCTTCGATGCTGAGTTCTCGAAGGAAAGTCTCCGAACTCTAACAAAGTTGCTATACTGTCTGTATGAAAAATCATAATGTAGGTAATTGAAATACAGAAGAATCATAAAAGTTCTTTGCAGCAGATGACTATCAAATCCCAGCAATCGAAGGTGAACAACTGGTAGAAACTGTAATGTATTCAATTAGGGTAAATAACCCTAATGCTCACCCGTATGCGTGCGTATGTGTCCTTGCAGTAGCCAAGGTCTCGAGAAACACTTGCCGCAATAATGGCACTTGCACCCCTGATTATGCGTCCTGACATGCATACTGAACGCGGGCATGCTGACGTACACCTTGTCGCAGTGTGGACACCTTCTGGCCTTCTTGTCGCCCAGGGATCTATGGGTCTGTCTGTGTCTGGCCAAATTGGAGGAGGTCGAGTACTTCTTCCCGCAATCGGGACACTCGTGGTCCTCGTTATCTTCAGACTTCGAGGTCTCCGTTGAAGTGGAGGTGGTTCTTCGGCTCTGCGAGATGGTCGAGGGTATCGTGGGAGGAGGTGGCTCCAACTCGGTCTTGTCGAGCGAGTTCTCCGAGATATCGAGACCTCGACGTTCCTCTTGCAGATGCGGAGAGATGTGGACACCCAAGACCGTGTTCCTCTCCGAATGATTCTGCAGAATCTCTCGTTCGCTTTCGATCCTCTCGAAGAACAGTCGCGTTCGCTCACCGAGCGTCTCGTCCTCCAGCGACCTTGAATGATCTTGGAACTGTGACTCTTGTTTCGCACGCGGTGCCATCATTCTGCACTTCTCCGAGAACTGAACGCATCGGGGCGACGATGGTTGCTGGTAGATTACGTTGTTCGGGTGAATTAGAGTACCCGCTGCGGCAGCTAGACTCACTTCGGCAAGTTTCGTCAGGTTGTAGAGTTCTTCGGGACACTCGGAGGAGGTCTCGCTGCCGCACTCGCTGGCTCCGTCGGATGTTGGATGATTCCCGCTGTAGTCTGCCAGTCTCACTCCTCTTTCCGGACTGAAATCTGTGGATGATTAGATTCATTAGTTATTTTCCAACTGAGGTATAACAGGCTATATCACAAGTAATTTTGGGGGTGGTTTTATGTCTTCACTTCAGATTTGAAATGACAGATCCTATTAAATATTCAAATATTTAAACCCAGGGCAAATGAGAATAAATGCGGAACTGTTTTTAGACTTAGGTCAAAATTCAGATTTGGATCCACAGAATTTATATGCGTAACATTTACGTTATTACATGTTGACATTTTAGTCAGGTGCAAGAATCAAGTGCTGGACCATTTTTAGACTTATCTCCATATTAGATGCATCACAATGATTCAAATTTGGACCCAGTGTATATGGACTTATTACGTCAAACGTTGAAACATTTTCAGATAGACTTTATAACTGAAAGTAAATGCAACTTATGTCCCCCACGAAAATATTTCAAATTTCTAATAAATTTATGTTATTAAACCTTGAAGGTGTTAAGGATAGTTTATAGTTGACCCCATAACCTCTTTGCAAACGTTATTCTCTACATTATAATTTGCAATATAAAACACGGATTATTGGCGCCAGTTCTAGAATAACGTTCCTACGAGATCAAATATGGCACGTGAAATCGTTTATCATCGTTAGCTAAGGTTTGAAAGAACGTTGGCAAACAACCAAAGGAAATCTCGTGATTGAACCCGAAGAAGTTCCAATTGATACTTCGATCCTGTTTTATAATCGGAGAGGCACTATTTTATTTTCTGTTCCAAGAATGAAAACTCGTCAAGACCCAACAGGTGGCTTTGCTCTACAAATATTATCGGTGTATAAACGTTCGGCGAAGAGAATATTTATCTTGCAATAATTTATCATCGCGTTTCCTTTATGCATTTCTACAGTGTTGCGTTCGAAGAAAAGATCCATATTTATGGGTTTGGATCATGTGAATCGAGGTGCTTCGAAGCACGAAACATCTTCACAAGTGTATCGGCTGCGCCGTTTTTGGAGAGAACGGAAATAGAATAGATATCTTTTGCTCTCTCTCATTCTCTTCTTTCTTTCTCGCTCTGCTACTTTTCGTACTTCTACGTACACGTATGTACACCTCGCTACAATGTAGACTTGCTCCGAATTTTAAAAGATTGCATTTTTAAGAGATTGCATTTTGTCCCACGGGGGATCAAATATATTAATTTGAAATTTTTTAATTTTCGTAACTAAATTCACAAATTTATGAATTTACATATTGCTTAATTTTTTTAGTTAAGATATTCGCAATCGCTAAATATTTTAATCCTCACATTTTTATAAAACTTCTAAATATGCAAATTTCATAAATTCCTATTTTGAAAGCAAACTTTTTGAAGCAAGACTAAAATATAAAAGTGGTGGTTCCGAAGAGACGTGAAATTTTCTCGGAAAGCCTACGATGCCCGCGGGTGTACATACCATGTGCGTTTGTACGAAAGCTTAGGAGGGGTTGACGGCATCGGGACGGTATGCGTCGTGTGAGCTCCGTGACGCATCTAGCGTCTCCTATTCTTAAATCTGCACGATGTACCACCTTAATCACGAAGCAACGACCAGCAAATTCTCTTGGCTGGCGATCAGCGACTTTGATTGACGAGATCGACGTAAGCGGCGCGGAAATTTTGCTGCACCTGACTGCTGGGTGGCGTACGTTTCCGGCTCGCGATCCTTGCCATTAATGGAACTTTCACCTTTGAACTTAATCGTCACTCCCCGACTAGCGAAATCCGTGAAACTGTTAACCGATCGACTTATTCGCGGACATTACTCCATTGACGCAAAGAACGAAATAAAACGTAGGCAGAGATCTATTTTTAAGAAGGCACTGTATCGTACGCTAGATCGAAATAAAAAGAATGGAATTTTCTGGCACGGGACAAAACGTACCTCTTCCGGAAGCATCAAACTCCTCCTCGGCTCCGTTGTATCGGCGGTGGGTGATCAAAAAAGCTCTCGGCATTTTTCTTTTAATTCCTCCTTCTATTCTCCTCTTCGAACCACACAAATCATACCTCAGATCCGATTTCACTGTCACACACGATTCACTGGTAATTTAGAAAGCGCTAAACACGATATATGACCGCGCGATTTTAAATGGCCTCTCGCGTTACCCTGTGTACCTGTTGCGGATCACAGGGGTGCGTCCGCCTCGAGGATTTCGGGCGTAATAGTTGCTCCGGCTAAGATTCGGGGCTACATATAGGAGCACAGCTTCCCTCGCCCTCCACCGTCTCTTCGTCATCGTTTTCTTCTTCTTCTTCTTCAGCTGCTGCGCGTCGGGCTGCACGCGCTCAGAAGGGTGCCTGACTGGCTCGTGTGTCGACTGCTTCTGTTTGCGTGGTGGCAAAAGCGTGCGACCACCGTAGTGTGTGCACGTCGATCTTGCTTTTTCGATTACACCATGCACGGAGGGGGACAATGTTGCGCACTACTACCATCGATACCTATATCGCAAACACGATCACTCGTTACATCCCGGTTAATGACGATTGGTTAGCCCGTTCCTCGTTTGCATGATCGGTACCGCTTTACGATCTTTGCGTTTCCTCTTGCGCTTGCTTCTTTTTATACTTTTTGGTCTCTCAAACACTTATTCAAACTGCAATTCATTTTGAGGGACATTTATTCAATTACCACACATTTTTTAACGCCTCTTTAAATCCTATATTTTTCTTACTTTTTGAGTCACAATTTTTATTACCTTCTCTTTGTAACTTACATTTGGAAGTTCTTAAATTATTTTCTTTGCTGTCGACTCACTTAAGAGCAATTTTTGCTGTTTCTGTTTTAAATCATTTTTGTAATAATCTTTTGAATAAATTTCTTTATCGTCACTTCCTTAACTGACCACTTCAGAGATGTAAAGTACAGACCTGAAAAATAAATTACTTAAATTAGAAAATGATGATTATAAGGTTTATGGGATCAATGTCCCTCCTCCTCCATTGCATTCTTCCTTATTAAAATAATAACAACAGTCCCGACGCGACGAGGTCATTTTTCAAAAGCTTCAAAGAGAAAACAACTATAATAACCAGAAAGATTTGTGTGCTTTTTCCGTTCCATTACTGTAAACACGCGTATAGAGGTGGTTTCCTAATTTAAGAGTGAAGACACGACAGCCTTGAACACGATCTTCGTTCTGGAAGGTCGTTGAACATTGACAACAGCGTTTTATCGGGTGCATTCGTTTGTTATTACCACTGCAAAAATTTGATCGATCTGGTCAGAGAAGCATTAGTCCGAGAACATAAATAGACTGTACGAGTTTAGAGAATTGAAACAGTTGCAGGATTACTTTGGATTTATTTTAGTTGAATGTTCGGAAGAAAACGTTAAGAAATTGATGTTTTTCCTGACGTAGGTTGAAACACGTGGGCGATGTATTGGAAATATCGATACGACCTGTAATTTATATATGGACACCGAACGCCATTTCCTGCGTCGATAAAATAATAATGTCAATCAGAAAATGTATTTATATTGTGCCAGCCACTTTGCGAGAAGTCGAGGATTCTTCCGACGGATGTGGACAGGTGTTGCACTTAGTACGCATCTAATACGACGAGATTTATATTCGATTTCGATTATGAGCAAGGTTTGGAACGGTTGCTAATTGTGCTGGGAGGACCTCCCTAGGGAAAATTGCGATATGGGTGGATTTAGACACTTAGAAATTTGACAATTTTCAAATGATCAAATTCCCAAATTTCCAAACATTCGATTCTTCAAATTTTCAAACTCTAAACCTCCCAAATTTCCCACATTAAATTCCTCAAATTTGCAAACTTCGATCCTCCAAAATTTCCCACATTAAATTCCACAAATTTGCAAACTTCGATCCTCCAAAATTTCCACCCTCCAAACCTAAATTTTGCCAAATTCCGAACGTCAAAATAACCAAATTCCCAAGTTCGACGATTTCGGTAAACAGCCACTTGCGGCGCAGAATGCGGTAAACCTCCACGAAAGATAGCAGATTACGAAGGCGATATTTACCAGTGGCAAATGAAAGGATAAGCATTCTATTTTTATGCGAAGCCACCGTTGGTAGACAGATTTTTTAGGATCCGTGGCACGCGTCCGATGTTCATTAACCAGCACTGGACCGTGGAGGAAAGAAAGAGACGGAGGAGGAACGTGTCGTTTCGTGCGCGGCTCTTTTGACCGCCATAATGGAGAAAAGGAAAAAGCGTCAAGATGGTAGACAAGATTCATCAAGGGTCACGGATTTTTTTACTTACGAGTCGAGTGAAATTTCTTCGAAGTCTATTCATCGTAATACACGCGAAACATGGAATCTACATAAACAATTTGAAATTTATAGCTCCAAAATAAATTCACGCGAATTCTAGTTTCCAGTAATCCACGTTTAATTAAGAGCAGCTTTAAACGTTTTATTAATAGCAGCCTTATTAATAAAATGACACGCTTTTTTCAGTTACGCGTTATCGATTACGTATTCTCCATGTTCGTCTAATAATATCGCAGACAACAATTTTTCCGGAAAGCATTAAAAGATAAAAGTTTTTGCAGACTTTGAGACAAAAATTTCTTTTGTTAATACTAGTCAGTTATATTCAACTGTAATGTACTATAATTTCTCTTGCAGTACTCGAAGCAATCGATTATTATCGAGACCTATTGTTTGAATTGTTTTAACGATTATATCTGTACCAATCTTTTGGAAAATGCGAAAAAGAAGAATACAATGTAAACGGAGGTTTTCTGAACAAATACAATGCCAACGGCGTCGTTCGGGCATACAGAGTATGCAGCAAGGGGACTATGCAGGCAGCAGGCTTTTTGGTCGGCGATTGAATGAATGCCACGCGAGTTAGTCAGCGTCGCGGTGCTAAATTCGGCGGACGCCTGGCGTCGCTCCAGAAGAACCACCCAGCGCACCAACCTGCTTCTATCCTGTAGCCACCAATGAAACTGCGGAGATCGATGTCGTTTTTGTATTTTCTTTCCGTCTTCTTTCGTTCTACGTCAATGTCCCTTTAGATAAAGGGGGTGGTTTTATGCACACCTGCGGAGAAAGAGAAAACTATTAAAATTTGCAATTTCTGACAATATGACATATTTCAAAAATTCTTACAATTTTTATATTTAAAATTATCAACCTTAAGTTAATTTCGAGAGTTAATTTTTGAAGTTCCAAATTCCCAAAATTTGGTAGTTGAAAATTCTCAAATCAGTGTCGTAATTCTACACGTGGAGGTGTAGCATTGTCGATGTAATACGTGGTAAATTGTCTATGTAACATATGATATAACGTCCATGCACCCAAGTGAACCTTTACATTTATCTAGCAGAGCATCCACAAGCTTCAGAAATCCTCCAATCTTCGAATAAATCTCGCAGTGAACACCATGATTGTTTTCGAAACGAATCAAAGAACAGGTGTCTCGGAAACACTATTGCAATCGGTGCGCTATCGACGTTGCGCCTAAAAATAAAGTCACGAGCGTCGAGCATCTTAACTGACGCAACTACGAAACTCGCCAAGCTTTTCTCGGCGATGGATTGTCAGTATCTAAGGTTCGACTACGTGTCACCAGATACGTGGTTCGGGTTTAACTTAACTCGTGGTCTCTACGTTAATAACGAACAGATACGGCGCATCCTACAGGTGCCTGAAACACGTTCCCGATGGAAAGTGTCGCGTAAAACGCGTATTTTCGTCGCACTTGGAGAAGCTCCAGGTGCGGAGGAGGAAGCATACGTGTAAACCGTGACGAGAGGAGAGAAAGAGAGAGGTGTTGGATAGATGTAGCGTGGAACCACGTGCGTTGCCATTTTTCACGGAAACAAGATGGAGAACTTTGACGCCTTCGTGCTTTACGCGCGTTCAACCGTGCGTTGTTAAACTCATTTAATCCTCTCGTTAATAATGTGACACTTGGGTATCCATTTTCGTATTAACATCGTAGAATTTATTGTGTTACACTTGGAATATTTTCAAGTCTCTACGTTGCAGAGTTTTGCTCTTTTGACGTTTTTATTGCGTTCACGGTTTTACTGCAGACGATGCAGATCTGCGTCTTCTGTAATTTATAATTAATATTGTTATTGTGTACTTCAATCAATTAACATGTTAATACTGACATTCTATAATTTAATGAACATTTACTGTTCATTTATTTATTGTATTACCTGTTGATTCTACTTAAAAGATCTATAATATTGTGATGCTAAATCTCCCAGTTTCTCATTTCATACAGAAGATCTAAAACAGAAAGATCCACTAATTACAATACAATACATTGTCATTAAAGTATTAAAATTATTTTTACCTATTTATTCAGCCAAGTATAGTACTCTCGAGATCATTCAGTTTGATACAAGGGTGAACAATAATTTTGTGTCTGTACAATTAATTTAAAAATGTCTCCCGCCACTTGGAGCATCGTGGAATGGTAAACACTCGGATGAGCATGGTTAGCCAGACTCGTGCCAAAGCGCCCTGGAAAAAGAAAAAAGTCACTCGGAAATGAGAAAGGGGACATTTTTTTGTGCGATAAGGAAAACAGGGTCATTAAGTGTAATCCCGTTCCACTAGTTCGGTGAAAAATAAATGTTTCGGCGGGTAGCGTATGTCGGGTGGATATCGTTTCGAAAAGTATCCGGAAACGCCTGGTTCTTCTTATAAATCAGCGCCGGTACACTCCCTCTTTCCTCGACCATGTCATTTAGCGAGAAGTTTCTGCTGGGTGGAAGGGAAAAAAAAGGGGAAAAGCACGCGATCGCTATTTAAAAGGCTCGTAGGTGGGTGGCTTTTTAGCCGAGGTATATACTGACGTAGGGAGAGGGCTTCGACTTCGCTCTTCGGCCTCGGCATGGGGTTGCCGTGCTATTTTCAGGCCGGTGGCTCGATGCAGCTGTCGTGTTCTTCGGGTAAACCACCTCTCTTCTATTCCACGGTCACTCGCGGGACAAGGTAGAACGTACAGACTGGAATTCTGAATTTGCTGATTAAAACCTTAACATTAATTCAGACTAAACGATAAAACAATCAGAAAAGTATTTCGACAAAATAACTAAAGATAAAACCATCATAATGTAGTCTCCATAATGCAGTCTCGCTGTATGACTCATTGTCACCACATTTTATACATCTTCTGCATATTTTATACTCGGTAGCTGTTTCAACTATTTCACTTTTCTTCCTTTCTCTTCATTCTCTTCCCGATCTCTCCTACTCACATATTATTGCCACTTTTTTTTATGTTGCTCTTCCTCGTTCTTCAGCTCCCGCAGCTTTCTTTACGCCAATAAATCGTTTCTAGAATGGAAACAACGATTAAAGGTAACGAGCCAGAGCAACGGTACGCACATAGACGCACGAATTACATACCGCGTTGAAGTTATGTTTCCGTGAAACAGAGAAAGACGACGAAAGATAGTAGGAGAACCATTTAATTGATTGCCTCCAGCGAAAGCACGGGGAGAAGTACGTGCTGGAGAATGAAAGACGCGGATGAAGAAGATGACAAGATTCGGAAGATCTTGGCAACGAGCCAGACGAGATTTTCAGCCGTCTACGTGTACTTCCAACTTTCATTTCACTCCTCTTCTAGCCACCGTACACGTCCTCTAGGACCTAGGGTGCAACGACACCGGGTAGATGACAATTTTCTATTTACAGTACATGAGTCATTACGCGAATACGAGTTCTATGCGAATAATTTGTACCTTACTTGCTCGTGAGTGTACTCGAGGCTCTAAACTTTAGTCCACACTCTTAGGGTAGCACTAAAGATATATGTACTCTCATGTCGTTAAATATTTGACATTGTTAATCATCTTACATTTTTCTCACATATATTTTACTTTCAGCGCTCCGTAGTTATTAAATTTCTTCAAAATTGCCGCATAGTTCCTACAAAAAATATTAATTTTTAATATCATCATTGACTTTGTGTAAACGTTCAAAGTAAAATTCGTGTAGATTACATTAAAAAATGATGCATACCCAAATATGTATCATGTGTATCATATTATCCCAAATATTATCATTAAATTTGATTTGATCGAATAAAGCTCGATATCCATAAAACTGAAGTTCATGATCCGGGAACACTTAGTCAAACTGGAACAAAAAACAGAATGGGGTGAAAGAGTATCAAGAAGCAGAAAAAAATTCCGACCGGAACGACCCTTAATTTAGTTTCGGGTGCAAGAGATTAACAGGAGGTGGGGATGTCCGTGGAAGTGCTTCCACGAGGGGAGAATACTGTCGTGAAGCACGTTGGTTCATGTTTAGAGGAATGTCTTTGGGTATAAAGGGAGACAGTTCCTTCCGGAGACAGCGAACAGCCGCCTGCTTCACCTCTCTCACCCCCTACCGATTTGTTCTCTTACTTTACCTCTATTTCTTTTCAATTTATTGCCACTTGTTTCTTATTAATCCACTGTTGGCTTAATACATCTCATCCGCAATCTTTTTTAACAATAAACATTAAATATAATTTAGAGGCATGTACAATTAAAATTTTTCTAGATTCAAGTTTAAGTAAAAGGTTAAGTTTCTTGTAGATGTATTTTTCGCTAGATCTAAGTTTACTGTAGGTCTAGGTTTCCGTAGGAACATCTCAGATTTACATTTTTGTAGGTTTAAGTTTATCTAACTCTTTAGATTTAGTTTCTTCAATTCTAGGTTGATAAATTTTCAAGTTTAGAAAGATTTGAGTTTGGAGATTATATCTTTAACATTATGCAATATGCTATAAATATAACTCTAATTGTGTAGATCATTGACGAGTGTAATAAAGCTCATGTACCATGGAATAATTACAGCGAATTGAAGAAGAAAGAGGCATAGTAATTCAGAGATTAATTGCACGCGGATAAGGGTGAAGTAGATCGAGCTTCGCAGGTGGCAAGCAGGCATGCAAATCTAAAAAAGGGTCACGCACACGAGCACGTGCTCGCATTTTGCGAAACCTTTACAAAAGCTGAGGCGATCAGCTGGCTGTTCCCTCTTCCTTCCCCTCTTATCTCTCCTTCGGCGGCGATGAAAAAAAGAATGAAAAAGGGATAAAAATGAGCATACCACCCCCTTCGTCCGCACCCGCATCCTGTACCAGCACGGTGCTTGGCTGCTCCCGTAAAAACCGGCCCGTCGGTTTCCATTCAAAATGCGCGAGTCACGAGGGCTCATTCACAAAATTTCACGACGAAATTCTACACTCGGCCGGACCGTCTGCGATCTTGATCGAAACGCACGGAGAGCGACAGAGACCGGTATATTCTTCTTCGTTCGTGCCTCTCTTTCGTTTGACGGATTACATTCACGATGGTTTTGTTTCTTCTTTTATCGCGGTGACAAACAAAAAACGACACCCGCTGGCGGTTTCTAATGACGTGCACAATGCATTTAAATTCGTACCGGTACTGGAATGTACATTCAACAAGTAATCAGCTGACCGTAAGTGCAATCAACTTGAAACGCTGCGTACAATAATTAGCGTTATTCGTTGCCATTCATTCGTTTTTAACTATTAATTACTTAGTCTTAATTCGCTCATAATTTCGGCAGAGACCATGTATAGTTCGTTCGTTTTAAAGTTCGTTGACTAGATGAAGTGTAGAATGAAAATTGCGACCAAGGAGTGACAGCAGCATGGTTAATGACCAAGGAGATTATTGCTCGTTCGAAATCTGGAGAATGTTGATGACTTCCGTCTCCGATGTTGACTGTACACTCGAAAGCTCCTTCAAAAACGAACCGTTATTCCAACATCCACGAGCACCGTTCCGCGATTGTTCGATAAAACGTCTGCTTTCCAATGGATACATCTCCTGTTGCAGTAGGTGGTTCCTCTATTGCCACACAGACCACGTGTGTGTCACCCTGATCCTCCCTGGTTGATTCTCTTTCTTCAATTTCCATCGTCCAGACGGCTTCAAGGAGGAGATGAAAAAATGAAGGGGACGGAAGAAGAGGAAGTGGACTAGACGATGAGGGGGCTGAGGTCGTAGTCCTGAACAGTTCGCTGATGGATTCATGGAATTCTTCCTTTTTACTCTCCGTGCTTTCGATCATTGTACCATTCAACATTTAACACTTGGTTAATACGCTCGCTCCTATTTTCAGATAAATTTCAAATTAATCGAAGTAATAAAGAATTTTAGTAATAAAATTATAATACATAACTTACACATGCATCGTGTCATCAACGCAATGGAAAATAATTATACATTTGTAACGCAACGAAGGGTCGTAGAATAAATAGATGGAGTTAATGGCGGTAATGTCATCGAAATGTTTTTAAAGGACCTAGTTGTCCCACTCAGAAATTTGTCGGTGGAAAAGCTGCAGGAGGGGTTAAAGGATAGGAGGGTCGCAGACACAGAGTCACCAGCGGGAACGGGCACGCGACCGACACGCGTCCTTCTTCCCTCTCTTTCTTTCCTATCTCCCCTTTTTTTCCCTGCGCTTCTTTTTCCATCGCAGCTTCCCTTTGCGAGCACATGCATTCATCTCCTACACGTGATCATCTTGAGTTTACGCGCCCGTATAGGACCGTATGTCTGGTGGTCCATGATTTAAGATGCCACAATGCGAAAATTGTTCCGGAACAATACCTGCAAAATCACAGTATTAAATTAGATATCTGAGATCCCATTTACAGAGCTTTCTTTACAACTTACCAACTGAGCTATTACCTGAATAATAAAAATCTGGAGCTTTTGGTATTGATTAGTATTCCTAGTGCTTGGTATTCTCTATAAGATTGAGGACTATGTTACAAGTATAAATTGATCCAAGCTTTTGAGAACTTCTCAATTGATTCAACTTCTGAGAAGCTTGATTCAAGAATTGAACTGCGAGGTTGAATTTTTAGGTTCATTCACGAATCTGGTTTCTTCATAAAAAATGTACGTACGCCTTCAAGTGACTTGTGTCTGCACGAACACGTGGATGCTCATTCAGATTTCTTCTAGTGGCTCATTGAAGAATCTAGAACGTAAAATCTAGACACAAGTACTCGTTAACATTATCTCATCCTCTTACTTCCGTGGAATACCGTGGGAAAACGATTGCAAATTAAAGGAGAAATTGAATTACATTTGTGTAGAATTCAATTTGCAAGCGTTAAGAAAAAAAGTTGTCGACTTCATTCGAAGAAAGTTGCATTGTATTCATTGTTCGGAACCGTTATTGCATACAGATTTCTTGAGAAATGATTAAGGTCGATGAAGACGAAAATGCTATCTGTTGTAACGAGGGAAATCGGACATCTCTAAGTATAGCACGTATTTGCATGCGGATCAGGGACGGATCGGATTGGGTTGCCAAGCTACTGCAAAGTGGCAGTAAAGTTCACAAGGCTCGTATTATACAATTTTTTATTTCAATTTATCATTTTTTAAATTCACGTGTTGCAGTGGTTTTGTGGTGCAATATTGCATTGCATTTATAGAGAAAATTCTTCCATATTCCATTTATGAGTGAATACCTGTTTGTTTGAATTGAATGTCATGTTGCTACACGTAGAAATTTAATACGTGATGTAACACGTGGTGATGATCCAATATGCGATAATCTAACGCGTTGCAATGTAACGTGTAGCTATCCAGCGCACAGATATCTAGCGTATAGATATCTAGCGCACAGATACCCAGCGCACAGATATCTAGCGCACAGATATCCAACAGATAAATATCTAAACTAAAGTAATCTAACATATACTAATTTAATATGTGGTAATCTACTGTATAATAATTTAACACGTGGCAATTTAAAATTTAACCTGTAGCTGATGAATGATAATCTAACAAACAGTTAGATATCTAACAGTATCCAGCATATAGCTATCTATCGCGTAACAATCTAACACGTGGCGATATACATAACTATCATTTCAGTAATCGTTTAGATCATGCATTTTGATAATGACAGCGAACTTGGCACTGCTCTGAAAGAGCCAATGTTGCAAAACCTCCATTCAATACACCAGTAGTAAAATTTCTCCTGGTGAAGTTTTTCTCCGGCTTAAAATATATCAACAATTCTTTACAATAGTATATGTTAAAACAAATGAATTGTTTGATACTCGGCAGATTTGCCAACAAGGAAAATAAGCTGTGCCAAGATCGTTTAATGACACCTTTATGTAAGACACTTGATGTGGCGTTAGATGGCTCTTATCCTGTTTGTAAACATATACACAATGTATAACAAAACGGGACACTATCTGAAAGTGAAGAAAATTTATTTCATCGTTGCAACATAAATTCATGATGTAAATCACGATCCATAAAAGAGTTAACCTGAAGATTTCACCTGAAATTCCTTAAACTGAAATTTTCGTTTTGCAAACTTCTGGCCAATCGCCAGCCATTAAGCGCTTATAATTAAGAGGATGAGGTGTTTTGGCATGCCTCTTATAGATCGCGCCGCGATTTAATCGTCGTAGTTTCAATTATTTTTCTGGCTACCTGTCATTAGAAGAGTGTGGATCCGTAGATCCGGTCGATGCCAATGATCGAAAAATAGATCCGAGCGCAACCTGTTCGAAATAGCCGGCTTGAAACCTGTAACATGCGTTTACTCTCTGTGTGTATGTTGTTAATGTCATCCTGTTCGGACATGTGGATCGTTATTCAAATACCGACGTCGTGGATCGGTATTCGAATGCAAAAGGTGACACCAGACAAATTACTCGTCTTACGAGTGGGTTAAATGTTCTATCAATAGATAGACCTTTGAACGATAAGGTCTGCAGTTCGACTGTACTGATCGTGAACTGATATTTGGAACGAAACGTTAGTTGAGTGTTAATTATGGAAACTTGCTGAATCTTGACAACCAAGAGGCTGATCAAAGGGACAGTTGCTTTTGAAGATATCTATGATCATCTAATATCAACACTGCAACTGCATTATGTTTACGTTGAGGTTGAAATGTTGATAGTACATTAGGTACAAAGTATATTACTGGATAGTGATGAGAGTTAAATCAGCTTCTAGGTTTAGAATTTAGAGCCCGAAGTTACAAAGTTGCAAAGCACCCAAAGATCCTAAAGTTCAAAAGTTATATTAATCATCCTAGAACACGGCTAATCTAGAATTATAATTTTTTCTGTCGTGAAGCGGGTGTCGCGAAGGTCATGCACTCCCCTTAAAAGATTCGCGGGGGGAGATCATGCTCGGAAGGTGTCTAAGCTAAAGGGAAGGAAATCTAATTATAGAAGTCGTTATACCGCGTGCTGAAAGTGGTGGAGGGTGTGAGTACGGGTGCACGAATGAGAATCGGTTGCATTGGGCGGTCATAAAATGCAGGCTGCATCCGCTCGGCGCAGATGTACTTGGAACGGGGCTCCAGTACCACGACGAGACCAAAAGGATCTCTCGTTTCGGGGTTCTGTGGCCTACCAGATATTGGGGACAATGAACTTGAAGTGTACACGATAGAAACAGATTCCACGGATTCCTCTTTGACGGAAGATCGATCGGGAACTGATTCGTTCCCTTTAAAGCCAACACACCGTTCTGATCATTGCCAGACTTCTCGTGCCATTTCAAAACAGTCTGAAAGAATTTAGACATGTTTATTAGTCCCGTATCGTTAAACATGTGCAAACAAATGCAGAGAACACTTGGAAATTAACCACTCCTACCGGAGAGACTACACAGTGGTTCACCTTTGAACGTCTGGAATCAGAATATTCCGATTGTTATGGCAATTATGAAATTATCCTTGAAGCATATTCACCTTTGCATTAGTCATTAAAATAGTATTTTTATAACTATCATTTTCATATTTATTACACTGCCTTTATATTGCCAATGATGAAGCTATAGTGGTATAATTCTTGCAATTCCACAGGTTGAACTATGATGGAAGCCATAATAATTTTTAAGAAAATCTGCACCTAAAAAAATACGTATGTGAAAATAGTAAAGGAGGTAGAGTTAATTAGGTAGCTATTAACACAAGGTTAATAAGGACATTAACTCGATTGCCTGGTGTTATCGTACGTTGCACAGGTTCGTTCATTACACCATTCATTCATAAAGGAGCCATGTGGTTAACTGGTAATCCGTCCTGCGGTACTTCCTGTTCTTTACGATAATAAAAAGAGATTGAACGTCAGCGGGCCATGTTATTACTAGAACAAGCAAATATGTCGAACTGATGAATTCCAAATTTTTGATTCTGTGTTATGAAAATGATTAACTTGATGTTGAGAATGATTCTATGTACCTAATAATTTTGTAACACTTATTCATTCCCAACTTAAAAATATTATTGTGCATAAACCAATATATTATTATACCACGTCTGACAATAACAATCCCATGATCGAAAACTGATTCCTAATGAATTGTAATGAAAATCGCGTCGCAATTTAGTAAGCACTTTAACCGTTCCTTACGAGCAATAATTGGTCACCCGGCTGCACCAGCTGTGACATTTCGCGCACGATCGACTCGTGCCGTTCGAACCATGATTATTATTGTTTCTTTCTTCTTCTTTCCTTCTCTGAAAGTAACCGCGCGTGTGCCAGTAACGTGGCCATGTAAGGGCTAGGCGGGGGTGCTACGCTGGTTGCTAATTTTAGTACGTCTCCAGGGTTCCTGGAGTCGTCGGCGAATCGGCAGCTGGTGATTCAAGACGTAGCTTCGCACGTGGGTAACGTGTCTCACCGTTCACGCGCGACGGACATCCCCCTTCTTGTTTCTCCTCTCGAAGGAGGTCGACGTCGACGTGTCCACTCGGTTCGCTCCAGATGTCTTCTAAATGTTACCCGATATCGGACCGTTACTGAATCATTTCATGCTTTCCACTTCGTTTCATCTTACAAATCTGTAAATGGTACAATATGTAGATATTGGTGATATAGAGATTTGGAGTATTAGGATCTAGAAATGTATAGATTCAATGGTATAGACTCTCTGCATCTTTATACCTAAATTTCAACATACCAATTTTACACATATCCACTACTAGCTTCTGTAAATATCAGTGCTTCAAATATCAGTCCATCAAATTCATCAAGTATTTAAATGTCAGTATCTGGAAAATGAAAGGATGGAGGGAAGAGAAACGGAAAAGGAAGAGGAAGGAACGCGTGTGTCTCTGTGAGAAGGAGCCAAAGGGTAAAGAAGGATAGGTAAACGAGATCTGGCGGCGGCTGGTGCAGCGGATGTTTGAAGCTGCTGAAAGTGAGGCGGTGGTTCCTTTCGCGTCTTTCTCTGTCTTTCCTGTTGCGTTTCCTTCATCAGTTAGCCACGATCGCGGTAAAACACGGTCCGCGTAGGAAGCACCTCGGCGGATGTGATGTTTAGGACAAGATCCCGGACAAAAAATCTTCACCGTATAAATAGGCAATGGTGGTTGGTACCGCCTATTGCCGCTAACTTTTGACCCACATATTTTCCGTTGATTGTTTGTGAAAGCACCTTTCTCCACTTTCTTCCTACTACTCTATTGGCGGGGATCTTACATACTGAATTCTGTTTCACGCATTCAATTCTGTGTACTCGACAATTGTGAAAGAATGTCTTCGAATTTACTAATGGAGATTTAAATGGTCTCGTAATATGATCACCGTAAACTGCACTTGACCTGTTTCCACTTGGGTTCGACAGCCAAATATTTTTTTTGACCTGCAACCTGCTGGGTCTAAGGGACCGTAGAAAACATCTTCCTACAAAATGTGAAATGACTCGTGTTACAATGCAATTAATAAACAATGCAATTTGAACGTATACGTTTATAATAATTAAAGTTTGTCACCTTGATAGTACAAATATGATGCAAAGATTAATTGTTCAATGTAAAGATTTACATATTATGCATGCATAATATTGGTGTTAACAAAGTAGTGAAGCAACAGTATAAACGATGCGTGGATCTAGTCAGATATGCTCGACACGTGGTTGTCGATATACCAGGCTCCTGCCGAGAAACACAGACCTCCCAGTGTCATCCGACCACCATGTGCACGCGAGCTCGTTGAAGTCCCTCTCAGGTTTTCAAATTGTCTTCTATTTGTCGTCGGTATCACCGAAACCGAATGGCGTGTCAAAAAAATATAAGAAAACAGAAAGTAACCGTTTGAAGGACCAACGCACGGTTTACACCTCCTCGATGTACTCGATGGTTATTTAAATAGATTCTTTAGAAGCGACAAGTGTGCGATATGTACTCCGCAGGAGGGACCAGTCGAAAGGACATTTTTCTTATTACATAAATCACGTTAGAAAAAAAAAAGTTTCAGATCATCGTAAAAACGTATATGGAGATTTAGGATTTTTATTATCAAATACTAATATATGAATATTATTATACTACATGAATAGTTTAATATTGCAGCGAATATTCATTATGACTGATAAATTCATATAAAAGTGGCAGTATAAAGGTAGTCTACTATATTTGAAATAATCTGTAAAACTGTCAATGAAATAAGAGATTTAGTATTCTCATGAATACGTGATACCGAACTATTAATATACTTTACGCGGAGGGTTAGTAAATCGAACGTAATGTAAGGGTTGCTGAAAACGACCGGTGCATTAGGTGTATTTTCCTCGAAGGCTGTCACCTGCTCTTACTGCTTGACCAATTGAAGTAAACGCACGTCCGGTATATGTATACTCAAGTGTACCAGGCGTGAGCCGAATACGACACCCTTATTTTTACGACATTTTGCATATGCCCTCAATACCGTTCCACGATCCTTATTTAAACATAAATTCAAATGGTACGATAATTAATAATTTACGAATAAGTCAAAAGGTGAAAGTCTTGAACATCATCGTTTTCATATCTAAGATATCGTACAGCCATTTAGGTCTGAATGGAATGTTCAGATTATGCATAAACTGGTGTCCCTCGAAACAGTATGTTACCTATGAAAAGAAATGTATGTTAACATTAAATGCTGACATAGCTAATGTACCAGTAGTCATTTAGAAATTTAACAATTCTTGTTAGTAGACAGTTTAATATTTGAGATGGAAAATATTACCAGTGAAGTATCAAATATTATGATAAGTATAGTGGAAGACTAACGTCGACAGGAAAATGAGGTGGATAAATTGTGCTCGCTGCAACGTAGAAAAACACTGCGACAGTGACTTGAGGTTCAGGATAAATTGGTGTAGGTACGCTCCAAAGGACTTGATACGTATAAAATTCCGTACGAATTTGACGAGTGAGGCTAATGAAGCTTACATGAAACATCCAATCCTTCAAAGCCTACAGAAAAACTATGTAAAAGTATTTATTCTTATAAACAACTATCTGATACAATTCATACCGGCAATGCGTTCCACGATTCCATTTCTGCAATTATACTCCTTTTACCTTCCCTTATATCAAAATGACCACAAGTAGGCCACTTGTTCTTAAAGCAACCCATCTTTCGTATATTATTGGGACACAGAATTCCCTACTTGTCATAGATAAATTTAAAGACTTTACAATCAAGGGAAAATATTGTAATTTTTTTTACCAACCATGTTATCAATAATCTTTAACGTATTGAAAACTGCTTGGTTGACAAATCTTCTAACAAAATCTGTCGTGCTACGATACAATTGGTAAGGATGGTCATCTTGTTCGGGACGGATATCAAAGACGGACCGTTTTTTGTCAAGCATATTTGAATAAAAAGTAATTTCGTCGTTGAGTTTTCCAATATTTATTTAGCCGAACTTACATACGTTATTGCGTTCATGTTAAAAAAAAGAGACGAGAAAATCGTCGACATCGTGCTTCCGCTCGTGCGTATTTTTCTAAATTTCTATGACAATTAGTTTGCGACATATATATATATACTCACATATATACGTCATATACAAGGATACACGGGTAAAACGCACGTACAGTTAAATTATACGAAGACTTTAGTTTAAAGTTTAGACAAACAACTGTCTATAATACCATATAATATTAAAATTCATGTTGAGTTTAACAGTCACTTTTCGAGTTGCTAGGATGATCGTGTTGAGACCGAGCTGCTTTCGTAGACGTTTCTAGGCCGGTTACAGCCGCCAAAACTTGGAACAAACTTTCCATTAGTCTACTAAATATCTCCAACATTTCGTCAGATTTTCGTGTAACCACAAAAATATCTGCGAAAAAGAAACGCTAATTATATTCACTTCATTATATCTATCTATATGCACTTGCTATATTGAGAGAAACTTTGGGAACTCGCTGTATAGGTTATGAGAGCCATATAGTGAGAGTGCACTGTAGAATAATTTTATTAATACATTACCAGATCTATCTTGTCCTAAGTATCTGCAGTACATATTAACAGCAGTCGTTACGTCATCGTCATCATGGAACGGATCTCCCGGCCACTGTGCTCTGTGCAGTCTTACAGCTTCAAGAGCGGGACACCAACGTGCGTTTCTAAGTAATTCTGCGACTCTGGCAACTTCTTCGACAGCACCAGTGCCGGGTAAAGGACTAGGACTAGGTGTTGGGGTTGGTGTGCCCCTCTCGCTTTCTGTGCTTTCCTCGAGCGCTCTACTCAGAGCGATCTTCATATTCGCAATCTCCACGGACATGTCCTGAAGTGGAATTTGTACGTTTTTCGCAGCACTCATAAGAGTGCCTAACATTTTATTCGACGCCTCGATTAAGAGTAGCAGTTGTAGGTGAAGTTTATAAAGCGCTTTGCCTAAATCTAAGAGCATCTCTTCAAGACCTGCCTCTGTGGTATGACCACCACCCAATGCATGGAGCTTTGCTGCTGCTTTAGCCGCTTCCAGACACTACATAAATACATAAATACATAAATAATTAACATTAAATTAGTTGTACGTATCTGTGTAGTTAGCAATCAATTGCTTACTTCAGTAGCGTGATCCTTCTTATCGAGGAACGTTTCAAGATGCTCTTGGATTTCCAACATTCCAAAACGTAGAGATTCATTTAATCTCTGATTAGCAAAGATAGCAATGGAAAACCAAATCAAAGGCGGTTCAGCTTTTGAACTAAGTAATTCGGCGTGACTAGATAAATGAGAGCCTAATTGAGTGGCGGCAGCGCTGCCATTACACAATAAGGCACTGGCTTCTCGTGTAAGAGTGACGGATTTACCGCTTACATCCTGATAATATAAAAATATTAAAACTAATTCTGCTGCACAAGTATGGCGCATACTTACCCTTAGAATTCTGCTCAATAATTGGAAAAAGTCTAAAGTGTTGTACAGAGATTGCGTGATCAGATTCTGAATTTGTTGTCGCCAGATTTCTTCCGCGTCGTCCCGCACAACTTGTCTGAAAGGCATTAGTGCCGAGAGGTTTGGCGATGCGTTACAAGGCGTTACGTCCCCTAAATCTCCCGCGCTAGAGCCACTGTACATAAACGACGAATATAAATCAATTAAACACGTCTTTCGCGTGTTCTAGCGAGAAACTTACGATGTGTCAGACCTTGTTGAAGAATCATGGCGCGTACGGCTAGGTATGAGGGAAAGAGAGGATGGTGGGAACATTCCAGGAATATTGTTCGCTTCTTGCCCCGCTCCTGACCCACCGGGGACTTCGTCCAAAGGTGATTCTGAACCGGCTTCGTCGTCAGATGATTCTTCCGCAACACCACGCTGTAATATTGACACATTATGTATGTAATGTATTACTAAGTGTATCTTTACGATAACTTATTTATTTACCCGACTAGTGTGTTTGCTGGATGACTGAGTTTTCTCGCTTAAACTTTCCTCAAATTGCCTCAAACTTGGTTCTCTTTCTTCTCCCTCGCTAAGAGGTCGTCGTCTTACTCCCCAGTTGAAATTGTCAGTACTCTCACCCTGTGGAAAATGAAGAGTTTTTTAATTATTGAATTATAAGTGTTTGATAAAAATACTTACCTCAACGCTTTCGCTTTCATATTCAAGGAAATCGAAGTCTTTGAACACGCCAAATTGTTCGTCATCCCTTCTGGAGCCTCCACTCAAGTCATTATTCGCACCAGAAACTTCCTCCGTCGACGATGCCATGGATGACTGTCTTTCCATTAAATCTGAACTTTGACTGAATATAACCTGTATCACAAACATTTGTTTTTAGCTAACTAGAATCATTAGAGGTGTAACAGCAATTGAATCACTGGCGTAACTAAGCATTTCCAAAAATTCAAATTTCTAATTTCTGAATTTGTGGCCATGCCTGATGTGTAACATCAACTACTAATAAAATACTCGACCTGGCCTCAAAAAACATAGTTACACCAATGGACACGACACCTCATATTTTCTGTTTGCTGGCAATGCTGTGAAATTGAACAGTTATTGTGCATTTACGTGATCAATACTGAACTCTGTTACGTATGTCTGGTCTCGATTTACATAGCAGTAATATGAACATTATTGCAACAATGCACGTGTATGTCGTGCCGCTTTTCATATAATCACATGCTACACAAAAATCTACTGCGCATCAATAATCCTACGAAAATTACAACTTGTTCCGTTTTCACAATTTAGTGCGAGTTAAATCACTTGAAGCATATTAAAGCGTGAATATATCTGTACTGACAGGACATCACACATGAGTATAAACAGATGTTTATTTTTACTCTGGTGATAATAAGTGCAGACTGCATTTAAAGTAACCTGTTACCTTGCTATATAATGTCATTGAACTAATGTGTTCATCCTAAAAAAGGGGCACATAACCAGAGTCAGTAACAATGACAATATTTTTCTATAGGAAAACTAATGGACACAAATCAGTAGAAGTTACTGGAACAGATTTTGAATGAACTTACAGATGGGCTCTTTGGTAGACCAACGCGTTGTCCACATGTTGTTAGAAGGTTTACCAAGCATTCACGGACTCGGCCCTAGAAAACAGATTTCGTTAAACGTAATTCTTGTACATTTTACAATTTTTATCTTACCTGTGACATCCATGGTCGTTTCCAACCTGAAACAGCGTTGCTATCTGCTGGTGATAGAGACAGTGAACATCGGGGAGAAGCAAGTGACTTTTCTTCAACACCTTGCCGTATCAACCATCGTCTACCAATTACCGGTGTCTGAGATAAGTCGAACGTGAAATCCATGGTCCTTCCTATTCAATGAAATTTACAATAAATACCTTTAAGATAACAGAATTTCATTTACTAGCTGATATATTTTAACGTTTACTGTTTCAAGAGTACATTTACCTGCTTCGCAACTATATAATTGAAAGTTTGAAAAGGACAGTGCTAACGAAATAATCAAGACTTAAAAAAATGAGAAAATTTAGGTTGTTTGCAAGCGAACAAATTTTAATTAAAAAAATAACAACTATATATTTTGCGAACGATTTACAACTTATTGTTATTATTATTCTTATCGCAACCTGAACATCGTCAGATAAGCAATCCATGCAGTGATCGTGTTCCGCATTGTAAGAGGAAAAACAGAACTTAATAATATTCAAAATGTACAATCATGCAAAGTATATGTTAAGGAGTATCATTTTACCGGGCAATTCTTTTTTGGTAAAGATTTCGGTATCGGTGAAGCTTGGATGCGGAGATGCTATTGAAGATTCCCAGGATGAACCGTGCACAGATGTAGGTGGTGCTACTAACGTTGACGATCTCGTGACTACGAGCTTTAAAATTTTAAGGGCTTCCTTCCAATGAGGACCCTAACATTACATCATTACATGTCAACTACTTACGAAAACAAATACATATTGCATAATTCGCTACCATTTGAAATCAACTTTTAATCGTACCTCGACGTATTTGGAAATCACTCGCAGAAGTTCTGTGTTGATTGGTTGGGCTGCTTGTGAGGCTAGATCAACGTAATGCAACATGCAATGTATAATACTAAGCACAGGTAACGCGACGCTTCCTGGACCCTTTTCAAGTACTTCGACCAAAAACGCAAGCATGTTGAAGCTGAGATGAGCATATGTGTCATACAAATATTTGACCACACATTTTGTCCATTGAAAGCTTTCTTTACTGAAGGTACGTCGGCTGTATAGTGTCATTACTGTGCCTAAATTCTCCAGTTTCTTTCCCTTCTCAGCACTTACCTGCAAATGAAGATTATAATTATATAATACGTCAAGAGATACGGTATAAAACAGTGATGGGTAGATCAAGTGCTTGGGAGCTTATAGACATTGGAGTACACCCAAGCGGTTCCATCACTGATATTAATTGAACATAATTACTTGTGCAATATTTTCGGCGCTCCTGATACATAATTCATTAGCGTCCTCGTAGTTTAGAAGCATGTAAGGAAGTAGCGATACAACGTTCATTGGAAATGCGAGACTCTGAGTAGGGTCAACTACCGGTAAATCCAATAATGGGGTGAACTGAGACAACAGCGTTACAACTTGTTCGTAGGTGTTTGGGCTGGTACAACCTTTCAATAATAATGCATGCACACCAGGGAATGAATTCCATCTTAACTGTTGTTGCAGTTTCTCAACTTTGTCTCTAGCATCTGGTCGATCGAGTGGTAATCTATGCAGTACTCGACTAAGCAACCTTAATGCCAATAAAAATTCGTGCTCGTAGTCAGACTCGAGCAACGATACCGATAGCCAAAATAGTTGTGCTAAAATAGTCATTTTGTCGTCTTGCGTCGCTGAGTCACCTAGCAATTTCAAAGACTGAGCTGATCTTGACCGAGACAGGTTAGAATTTGGATATTTGTTACATCTGGTATCCAATTCTGTAGAAAACATAATGCAATTATGTTATATATTCACTGATAAATAATTATGTATATAGATATTTACAAACCTTTTATTTCGCTTGCCGCAGAATTACCACCGCTTGACTTCTTCATGCAATAACTAACCGAGTAGCTGGTACTTCTTGTATGACCACCCTGATTTAAATGAGAAAACATGTGTGGACCTGCTGGGTATCCGTTTCCACCGCCCGGACTTCGTTTTCCACCAACCAAACCACCCGCGGCTGGATCTTTATTGTTCAAGTTTGGAGTGGATTTAAATATCTCTTTCATGAAATCTAGAGGTCGGAAGTCAGACTCTAATGAATCAACGGCTGCTTCAAGTGTCAGTAATAATTCTGTCACGTAGCCCTGTAAGGATATTTAAGGTTATAATTATCAAAGAATACATTTATAAAAAATTAAATATGTACCTGCATGTCTTCTCCTTGTTCAGCGACAGTCTCTACCAGTCTAGATAAAATATCAGATAACATTCGAGATGTAATAGGAACTCGTAATGCCCTGAATACTTGAAGAGATCTTCCCGCATAGTGCCGGGACGAACAAGACAAGCCTAATTGTAACGCGGTTTGTGCCCATCGTTGACTGACCAATGCATGGGGCAAGGAATCTCTGAAGACTCGCAATACGTGTCGCAATAATACTGTTAATTGCTCAGCACTGCGAACCCACCATACTTTGGCAGTCATATCCTCATAATTCCACAATGGTTGATTAATCCTGCATCAAAAAATGCGTTCACAAACTCTGAGGAAATATTCATGTAAAAGTTATAAACATACCTAGACGCTAGGAAATTGATTAAAGATTTGATCACATCCTGGATTGGCATGTTTGGACCTGGTTGAGGCCCAACCCAGTTGTTTGCATCTTCCGGTGTAACAATAACAGGAGGCACTGTAGTGGATGATCCCGTCGTTTGTGGCCAATTGTTGCACGTTGCCGATTCTGCATCATCAACATTATCCCATTTAGTTTCTTACAGAAGCAACAAACCAAAATCACAGAAATGTTAATTCCTCACCATATGCATGAGAATTCGAATAATCTTTATTGCTGTCCATGACTGATTGATTCACATGATTCATTGATATTGGAGGAGTGGACGTTGCATTAGGAACAGGTGAATGAGTAGGAGTTCCGCTATTAGAAGACGGAAGCGGTGGTGGAGGAGGAGGAGGCGGAGGTGGCGGAGGCGCTGTATTAAATATTATTCACTGATAAATAATTATGTATATAGATATTTACAAACCTTTTATTTCGCTTGCCGCAGAATTACCACCGCTTGACTTCTTCATGCAATAACTAACCGAGTAGCTGGTACTTCTTGTATGACCACCCTGATTTAAATGAGAAAACATGTGTGGACCTGCTGGGTATCCGTTTCCACCGCCCGGACTTCGTTTTCCACCAACCAAACCACCCGCGGCTGGATCTTTATTGTTCAAGTTTGGAGTGGATTTAAATATCTCTTTCATGAAATCTAGAGGTCGGAAGTCAGACTCTAATGAATCAACGGCTGCTTCAAGTGTCAGTAATAATTCTGTCACGTAGCCCTGTAAGGATATTTAAGGTTATAATTATCAAAGAATACATTTATAAAAAATTAAATATGTACCTGCATGTCTTCTCCTTGTTCAGCGACAGTCTCTACCAGTCTAGATAAAATATCAGATAACATTCGAGATGTAATAGGAACTCGTAATGCCCTGAATACTTGAAGAGATCTTCCCGCATAGTGCCGGGACGAACAAGACAAGCCTAATTGTAACGCGGTTTGTGCCCATCGTTGACTGACCAATGCATGGGGCAAGGAATCTCTGAAGACTCGCAATACGTGTCGCAATAATACTGTTAATTGCTCAGCACTGCGAACCCACCATACTTTGGCAGTCATATCCTCATAATTCCACAATGGTTGATTAATCCTGCATCAAAAAATGCGTTCACAAACTCTGAGGAAATATTCATGTAAAAGTTATAAACATACCTAGACGCTAGGAAATTGATTAAAGATTTGATCACATCCTGGATTGGCATGTTTGGACCTGGTTGAGGCCCAACCCAGTTGTTTGCATCTTCCGGTGTAACAATAACAGGAGGCACTGTAGTGGATGATCCCGTCGTTTGTGGCCAATTGTTGCACGTTGCCGATTCTGCATCATCAACATTATCCCATTTAGTTTCTTACAGAAGCAACAAACCAAAATCACAGAAATGTTAATTCCTCACCATATGCATGAGAATTCGAATAATCTTTATTGCTGTCCATGACTGATTGATTCACATGATTCATTGATATTGGAGGAGTGGACGTTGCATTAGGAACAGGTGAATGAGTAGGAGTTCCGCTATTAGAAGACGGAAGCGGTGGTGGAGGAGGAGGAGGCGGAGGTGGCGGAGGCGCTGTATTAAATATAGATGATTCTGGTGGTGGCGGTGGTGGAGGAGGCGGTGGCGGAGGCGGAGGTGGTGGAGGAGGGGAAGAGGAAGGCGGCGGAGGCGAAGATGAGGGAGGGGGTGTCGTAGGAGGTGGTGCTGGCGGCGGACCATAGAGGTAACTGTCAAACTCTGGATCAACCTCGGTGAAATTATGTTCGAGTATTGGCAAAGCTGGAGTTGAAAGACCTAAACCCAACTGTTCTGTTTTTGATGCCAACAGTACCCGCGCTACGCCAAGATGATCTCGATGATCTCCAAGGACAACCAATAGATTTAACAAAAGACAACGACAGTGATCCCTTACGAGAGGTCTTGAATGATCCAAGCCAAGGAAAACTATATGTAACATTAGAGGGACATGGATTGCCCAGTCAAGTTGTATGCCGTCCACGACGACGTCGGTAAGCAGCATCACAGCGATGTTGCATCTAAAATTTTTAAATAAAATGGTTAACGTTAGTAAAATTTTCTTTTTTGTTAGTATAGTAGTCTCGCTATATGGAGTCCCGTCTCAACATGCATCTGTGGTCATATTGTTTAGAATAAGAATGCAATCCATACAGTGTTAAGAAAGTATCAAGTGTGCACATGAACGATAACTTCAGGGCCATATAGCGAAACTGTAAGAGCTAAGTTTCTTCACCTATGAAATCCACTTATGGGTTGCGAACTATCCGGAAGATATTCCGTAAGAGGAGCAAAGTATCCGCCGTATTCAGGCATCGGTAAAGGATGCGGTTGAGGAATATCAAACTTTTCACCGCTGCAGGACATCTTTCCATTTACTCCCACGGGTCCGTTACGTCCTCCATAACAAGATTCGTCCGTGGTCAACTGAAATCAAGTTCGAAGTAGAAAGAGAAGTTATGTACCAGGGTATAAAGTCAATATACTTCGGCTTCGGTCGTAGGAGTGGACAAATCGTCCGGAAGAACTGGCGGGCCGCTCGCAGTCCTTGTTTTTTCTGCCCTTGGGGTTTGAAATCCAGCGAGTGCTCGCAGTGCGGTGTCAGATTTCGAACTGCATATATAAAACTCGTAAAGAAAGGAAATCGATAACTAAATATAATAATCGATTATTCTTACCCGGTTTTAACGGGATCCTCTCCTGAATGCCTTTTGGTATGAATGGTACCTTTTTCAACGCCCAGATCTCGCGGAGGATTAGCAGGATCAGCTGCAGGGGCATCACTGTGCGATGAAGCTTTTCTCATACTAGTCAATCTGTAAAAAGGTGGTGTTTCAGTTCTTTCGATCAGACAGTTCAATGTTTCGACTGTCTGTAGTTCGGTCATCATTTCATCCACTAAACGATCCGGTCGGGCTCTGGCCAAATACAAAACTACACGTTTTGCCTGAAACATATAAGAGTTTAGATAGACGAGAAATTATTTTTGAAGATGGACGTGAAATTATTTTTTAAAAACTTACATATGGAAGCAATTCCTGTGGTGCCATTCCTGAGACGATTATCAAGTAGCGAATAATTACTTTCAGATTGTTAGGCCAACAACCGCACAGAGTGGCCCAAAGCTCTTCTGTCTCTTTGGGATGCTCATCAGAGAACTACGTGAAATTTGTATTATTATATGTATGTTCAATGATCATTAGCTTTCAAATTAATCATCTTTTGTTCATTACCTTAGCAGTTATGTAGAACAAGTTATTTAACACCATTTCTGTTGCCTCCGCGCTACCCCACCCCTCTCTGCGAGCTCCGCCACGCGACATATCGCTTGCATAGTACTGGAAAAATAATAATTAAATTTAAGAATATTCTATAATAATCTTTACATAAAGTGTAGTGTTTGAAATTGTTCAACTGCCTACAGTTTTTTCAGCAATGTTCTATTTTTTAATGTATTTAAAAAATTATTACAAGTTTTATGTTTGAACAGACATGGGGATACAAAATTGTTTATGAAATAAGATAAATCACAGGGGGCGTAGCTCAGATGGTAGAGCGCTCGCTTAGCATGCGAGAGGTACCGGGATCGATACCCGGCGCCTCCAAGGCCTTTTTTGGATCCTTTTACCAAAAGTAGATCATGTTGCACCTGCAGATTGGTGTTCGAATTAAATGAGATCACGGGGGGCGTAGCTCAGATGGTAGAGCGCTCGCTTAGCATGCGAGAGGTACCGGGATCGATACCCGGCGCCTCCAAGGTCTTTTTTGGATCCTTTTTCCAAAAGTAGATCGTATTGCACCTGCAGATTGTTGTTCAAATCGGATCAAATCGTGGGGGGCGTAGCTCAGATGGTAGAGCGCTCGCTTAGCATGCGAGAGGTACCGGGATCGATACCCGGCGCCTCCAAAATTCTTTTTTTCCATTTTACAAACACCTTTTTGACAATTTTTTAGTTCCATAAAAAAACAATATTAAAAAAAAAATAACATCTTCAAGTACACTATCACTATTCAATACTTAACATTAACATTAATGGTTCAGAAAAATAATTTAAATAAATGGTAAATTTTAAATAATAATGTTAATGTCAATATTTTAACGCAAGTTATATATAAACTGTATTTGGATTACGTACAGAAAATACGCAGTCAAACGAATAACATATGCGTGCCATATGACTGGCGTACAAGTAGTAAGTTCCTAGAACAGGCGTCTGATACATCGTAAAGTATACTACTGAAACCCTCATCAAAAGAATCTTCTTCTATGACAGCTTCAAGAATTTTCTTAAGAAAATGTATCGAAGGGGGCGTAGCTCAGATGGTAGAGCGCTCGCTTAGCATGCGAGAGGTACCGGGATCGATACCCGGCGCCTCCAAAATATTTTTTGGTTCTTTTTTTGAACACTTTCACCAGAAGTAGATCACATTGCACCTTCAATTCGACACTTGCATTAAACCAGATCGTGGGGGGCGTAGCTCAGATGGTAGAGCGCTCGCTTAGCATGCGAGAGGTACCGGGATCGATACCCGGCGCCTCCAATTTTTTTAAATAATAGTATAACATTTATTTTTTAGAGATGTATAAACTTATAATTAATACCATTAAGCTTAGGTTTAACTTTTTCAACTTCAGTCTTAACTGTCCACCCTTATGATAGTAACTTTTATCTCAGTCAGATGGGTTTATATATCAATAATAATTTGAAAATTTATAATTCTAATATGTTATAGGAATAGTTTCTTAGAATTAATATTTTTGAATATAAAAAGAGGTATTACATTGTAAAAGATACTAATTTCATAAAGCACCATCAATAAATTTCTATATTCCTATACCTTCAGATGTGTTCTTAATTTCCCAAAGGATTTCTCAAGTTCAACAAATATTGGATACAATTTTACCTGATAATAACTCAATGGATTAGAGGGTGGAGGTACGTTAGGATCCACCAATTCCATATTATGCAACCAAGGCAATAAATATTGAAGTAATAGTTGTCGGACCTCCCTCCTAGCTGTTTGGAATCTGTGTGTGATTTCTGAAAATCATATATAATAAAGATGTATGAGATTGGGAAACATGAAGCACGTCTTTTCTTTGGGAAATATTAGTTTACTTAGCAGATGTTTGTATCACGGTATTCAGGTCAGTTTCATTGCTATCTTTAAACAGATTGTTCATTTCAAGATTGAACCTACTGAAATGTTGCTAGCTTTAACATATTCAATATTAACAAACAATTAAGATTTTTCTATATCTACACAAATATTGCTTTTATTTTGCAATTTATAAATTTCAATATTTTATTCAATTTCATATATTTTAACATTCCAATATTTTCTGCAATATTTTTAATAATTTATTTATTGTTAAAATGCAGGTTATGATATTGTTTAACAAGTTAATATAATATAATATACATGTATGAAGTAAATGAAAGTTTTGCTCATGTTTTCTAAGTTCAATTGCAAATAATGTAATGAAACAAAATGATCTGTTTTCATACAAGCAGAAAGTTATCTAAATCCTGTACAGTAACATCGTTTGTCATCTTTCGTTGGAAGCGGTGCTTCAAATGGGTCTGACAAAATGTATTTTCAATGCAAACATGCAAACTGGAGAAAGGAGTATTAGGTTGAGTTATAAATGGATGAATTATTTCTAGCTGCTGGTAAAAGGCTCAACCTGTTCAATGTAGTCCAACTTACAAATGTTACATTCTCCTCACATTGTTGAGTTCAAACAGTTACATAAGTCATATTTCTGTCTTTCCCAAAGATAGAAATCAATCATTTTCATCACAAGTACAATACTGATATCAATAGTTATTGTCATAAATGCTTCAGAATATTTTCAAGATTAAGTAACATATGTAAAATATTAAAAAAAAAGCTAGTTCACCTTGACCAGTTAAGGTTGATGAACTATAAAAGTGGAACAATATGGTATAGGAGATTAATAGACCTAATAAGAAACGTAGACGGTTCAATTACAATGGATGGAGACAATCAATATACCATGAACTCTCTTTTTCTTTCTCATACAAAATTAGAAAATAAAAGTTTGCTAAAAATATATCTGTCGTCACAAAAATATTAAGAATTAAAAATTCCAAAACAGTTGACGTTGAAGTATAACACCTTTAATCATCTCAGATAATTTTCTTCCTTATCTCTAAAACACCTGTATTTATGCAACAAAATCAATTAAAGATAAATAAAAAGGCTCAACAGAGATAAAGCGCATTTATGTAAATAACAGCACCTGTATATCTAACATGTGATGAAAATATTGTTTTTAAAAAAAGCAAGCTTACCACTGAACATGGGCATAGTTAGCTCTGGATGTAGCTGTGCGAGTTGACGAGAAAGATACATTTGATTGCGACAATACGTGGTTGATAGAAGCACATCAAGAGTACCACCCCTAATTGTTCCACTTGAGGACATTCCACCGATGGGATTACTTTGTTGTCCTGCGGCTGATGTGGCCGTGGTTGATGAGCCGCCCACAGGATCATCTTGACCTAAAAGAAGAAGTAACAACCGTAAGTACAGTATCAATTATACAAGCTATCTTTCTGCAGAAACGAAGGTATGTAATTAATATTCAATATAACTTCATTACCGAAGAGATGCTAATAAAATCAGTCGCTAATTTAATCTTTTTTTTTGTAATGAGACTTAATGTCGGTAATAGAATCGCTCTTGAAAAGTACTTCCTACAAGGTTTAATTGTGTGCCTATATGTATAATATGTACAAATATGATATGTGGTGATACAACGCATGGTGATATAACACGTGACTTATAATAGAATTATAAGCGATAGAATTACAATGTGTAGTAATACAATATGTGGAATTATAAGGCATGTAGTTACAATGTTTAGTTACAACGCGTAGAATTGTAAGGCATGGAATTGCGACACGTGACAATATAAGACGTGGAATTATAACGCGTGGAATTACAACGCGTGAAATTACAGCATATAGAATTGTAACGCATGGCATTGCGACGCGTGACAATATAAGACATGAAATTATAACGCGTGGAACTACAACGCATGGAGTTACAGTATAGAATTGTAACATATGGCTATATGTAAAAGCTTTATATTTTCTTCGTATCAGTTACTTCACGTAACCGTCTAGAATTCATATATTGCCTCGGTGCGCAGAAGCTAGATCCACCGGAGTTTATCAGGAACAGTTGCCGATGCACCATGCAGAAATAGTCGAGGCAGCATCCCGAAGTACATCGTTTATCTTCAACATCTGTTGTCGGGGACATTTTTATTTGAAAAATAAACATGTGCAGTTTCTGTTATCCATAATTTTAAATAAAAGCTACACGCATCGCAAGATTTAAAATATTTAAACAATCGTTAAATCCATCTCTATTCACAGCTTCTGCTAAAATTACAAACGTGTCTCACGCTATTATAAACAAGTGATAAAAATATAATAAGTATTTTCTAAAATGAAATACCATATGCAAGCATTCAAACGCTTGTACCATTGTTCAAATGATTTTATTAACAGTGCAAAGTTAGTAATAAAAAATGTAATAAAGTAAATAGGTTTAAGTGAAACTCTAAATTGAACATTTAACGAAGACATCACAAAATGTTCTAAACAGAAATGTACAGAATTATGCGCGAGTGAAATCATAAACTCATTTCCGAGATCTGCAATAAAAGATGGACTTCTTTATCAAGCTTTGAAGGCGCCGCGAGAATTTGGCAGCACTCCAGCGCAGTTTTTCATAGAGCGTTAAATAAACTTCGAGCTTCTGTTCGCGGCATGAAATTCGTTCATCGCTCGAAGACACCGCAAATGGCCTAACCACTTATACCGAACGAGAATGAAAAAACAAACAGCGGTTGAAAAATCGGTGGATCTGTTCCGTGAATTTAAAACAATGTTATAAAAGCGTAACCTGTTGCAAGAATGGTAAAACGTGAACAAGCATTAAAATTCCTGCTCGTATAAAATTCATTCTTCATACAAAGATTCATGATTTCCTCACAATTGACATTGAAATTGACTATGAAATTATCGTACTATCTCTTCGTTAAAAACATCGTACCCTCTCCATATTTTACGCAAAACAAATATAATCAAGTCTATAATGAAAAACAGAAACCCTAAGACAACGAACTATAATCTGCTAAAACAAAATATTTTTAACTGCAACACGTCATCGCGAATGCATCCTGCGTTTCAACTATAAAAACCGATGAATCTTTCTGTTTGAGAGCGTCTCCCGAAAATGGCTCACGCACAAAGAGATCTCGTGGAATTCAACTTGACGGAGAACGTGTTACGTAGCGTCCAATTATATTACACCCCCATGTTGGTTTACTTCGGCTCTCTAGGAAATTGTCTTTCGATGACAGTGTTTTTCGGTACGAAACTGTGTCAAAATTCATCGAGTATCTATCTTGGTGCATTAGCGATCAGCGATACTGGCTTCCTCGTGTCCGTCTTCGTGGTCTGGTTGAACCTGGTGGAGGTTGGTTTGTTCAATCAGCCAGGCTTCTGTCAGTTTTTCATTTACCTGACTACCCTTTGCAGCTTCATGAGCGTTTGGCTCGTAGTAGCGTTCACTATCGAGAGGTTTATAGCCGTGCAATATCCGTTGTATCGTCAGTCAATGTGCACGGTGGCCCGGGCAAAAGCGGCGGTCTTCATGCTGACCACGCTGGGTGTCTTTTTGTGCAGTCCGGTTCTATGGTTCTCGGCACCGCGACCACAGTACGGCAAAAACGGTAACGTGACCGAGTGCCATTTAGCAGAGGGGTTCGAATCCTGGGCCATCGTTTACAACGTCATCGACACGGTGCTGACTTTCGCGATACCCTTTACCGTGATCATTATTTTGAACGTGTTGATTGCACGGGCTATCTATAGGCATATCAAAATTAGAAAATCGCTAACCAACGAGCCGCATATCTTGAAGGAGAAACAACCGCACGCGCAGAGCTTCCGGAACAATCTGGCGCAGACCAAAATCACCAAGATGCTTCTCGTCGTCTCCAGCGCTTTCCTGTGCTTTAATCTTCCGGCGTACGTCTTGAGGATTTACGCTTTCTTACATGTACGTGCCAATAACTATCGGGAACAAATGAAATATTTAATAACTTGCTGGTATTGCATGTAAAAATACAGTTTCAGAACGAGAGCAATCTGACCCAGACCAGAACACTGGAGCTGGCGCAACAGGTTTCCAATTTGCTGTTCAATACCAACTTTGGAATTAACTTTATTCTGTACTGCGCGACGGGCCAGAATTTTCGAACGGCGATACGGTGTATGTTTCTGAAGCGTTTTCGCAGGAAAAACGCGACGCAGGTAGCGACTCATGGAATGCAGAATGGTAAGCATGTTGTTAAACTTAATATTTTCAAATATTATTGAAAATATTTATTGGTCAATTTTTAGTTCCCAATTTTGTGCGACCAAGTACGACAGCCACGGTACAACGTCATGGTAGTGCGTTCACTCAACAATGGGAAGATTTCCATGAGCTACATGTTATCCCTGAGTAAAACTTTACGACTAAGATACAACATAATTGCAATTATGTTATGATGTAAGAAACTTCACGTGCAAGTAGAACATTGGCGTAACTTAATAGAGACAACTTTCAAAGTAAAAAGAATTTAGAAGTTCTGAAATTCCCAGGTTTCCAAACCACTTGGTAATGTTGACACTAATAATAAAGATCTGGAGCCGTTCCAAATAAAAATCCTAGTTACGCCAATGAAGTGAACATGCAAATCGAACTTACTGGTCTCGGGTTCCGCAGCCGGAAGAGGACCCACGTTCCCGAAGAATCTTTGGTCCAGCAGTTGAAGAAGTTGGAGCGCCGCGTCGTGAACTGGAGCACGTGGACAACCTGTACTCATTAGGGTAACGTTGATGATGCTCGTGTAATGGTCACAGGGGTACTCTCTATAAAAGAACATTAAAGACATTTTATGCTAATGTACTATAAATAAAATGAGATCTTTTATACTGCCTTATAATTTGTTTCAAATAAATTCTTTTCAATTGAGAATATTTAAATACATGTGTAGATTATTCACCTTGCACTAAAAATTGTTGCCAAGGCGAGGAAACAACCATCGGCAACTTGCGGAGCTCCCGTGTAACAACGGTCGACCACCCAATCGAGAAGCGTTCCGATATCAGGGTTACATTCCAATAGTAACACTACTGTTTCTCTAGCAAGGGCATAAATCTGAAATTTTTAGCAGAAATGTAGTAATCGTTTAAAAGAACAATATTAAACTGTTGGCTTGAAATTTACTTTTTCGTCCTTGCTGGCTAACAGTAAGTCTAACCACTGATATAATATTGCTCCTTCTTCTGAAAGCGATTGAGGATTGAAGCAAGGACCACAACACAGTAGTCCGCTCATAGCTTGCAACGCTGAAAGCTGTAACTCTGTACAAGATTTTTCTTCTTCGTGTAGTGAAGATGTGGTCGCCAATGGTCGTCCATAGGGACCTGCCCAACTGGCGAACAACATGAACAAATTCCGTCTCAAGTCTCTCTTCAGCAACGTATGACATGTTTCCACTGAAGTATCAAAAAAAATGTTAGTTACATAAAATTATCCCTATGAGTGGATACTCATACGTAGATACGTATAAACTTACAGGAAAAGCTTTTGATCATCTTTCTAATAAAGTTGCAGAAATGTAATTTAATATCGCGAACAGCGGGTGCCTCTTTGTCGGTTTCGTTCTCTAAATACAAACGTGCACCGTCGATGTATTCAACGAACGTTGGATGAAGCGACTGCGTTTCGCGATCTAACACTGCAGGACTAAAGAGGAATAAAATTAATTTAAATTATGTAAAAACATCACGAAGAAACGCGTTGGACAGACTCGATAACTAACCAAATACCAAACGTTCCATACTCAGCGATTAATTCTAATACTCTTACAAGCTGCAATCTCAATGCATCTCTTCGTCTTCGACGTCTCATATTTTCTTGCTTACGGTCAACCGCTTCACGGATATAAGGAACTAATTCTTCCATCAAGTCTCTGAGAAGCAACGATCATTGTTAAACGTATTCCAAGTTAAATAATCTATTTACTCACTTTAGAGCATCAGCATTTACTTTGCCGATCGCTTGTACAGCAGCATCCCTGACATCCACTACCTCGCACCTTAGTAGAGGTACCGTTAATTTGTATAAAGCTGCGGGGCTTGCATTCGTGCCAGGTGACTTGTTATCACCCCGTTCGGCGGAAAGACTATCAGGTGACGAACTATCAGAGAGAATTTAAATGTTTCATATGTATTATATAGACTCCCTGAAACTTGTCGCATTACGGATATAATGGTGTGCAATTAATTAATAGGTTTAGTTTTATTAATGTGATCGGGAACGGTCGTAAGGCTATGCAGTGACAGTGAATAAGAACAGATATACAGATATTTAATAAAACATTCGCTGCGGATTTTCACGCTCAATTAGTACTAATAATATCAATATTTATAATATTAATACTATGAACTCAAGGATGTATATAGACATCTAAGAATCTATGCATCTGAGTATCTGAAGATACAGAGATATTGTATACCTACATTGGTAACTAGAGATATTAAAATCTGGTAATTTAGAAGTCGACATAACACACATATGTGTATTATTCTGATAGTACAGAATATTACCCAATAAATGTCCACAGACCTGAAACCACAGCGAACGTGTTAACACCTCAACGGTTAAGAAAGACTTAGAAAACTCTGAGATAGAAATATAGTGCAAATTACCAACGACCGTTTAATCCCGGGTGACATCGAAGCATGGTCGTTCGCAATGGTTAATTAGGCTCACCTGGTCCGCTTATGCCTGGTGTAGATGCCGGAAATGGACGGAACGGAGAAGCGACCCGGTAGGGTCTGTGCCCCACCGAGATTCTCCAGGCTCTGACTCAACTCCTTACTCATGCACAACACACCAAACTCCACCGTATGCTGACCACTAGAGTATGCAATACAGTGTACCACCAATGCTCCTTGTATCAGACATTATTTACTGCTCAGAAAGTACTACTCTAAGATCCAGATGTACATGTGCGAGACAGTGACGTGTAGCATGCGAGGTAGAGAAATGTTACAGTAAAATAAAGCGAAAAATGTGCGTCTCAGGTAACAGTTATGCTAATCCGAATTCCCACGCCCCGAGTGCAAAGCACACGACTTGGTACGAATTGGTGCTCCTCTATTCGGTATGAAACACCTTATGTTGCTAATTATTACAGACAGACTTTTAGAGGTGATATGTGCATAATTTATGTGAGATTAGACATTCTTACATCTTATCAAATATTAGAGATACAAATGCCACGTGCGTGCCACAGCAGAAATTGCATGTCATAACCAGGAGTTAACTCGATATAGTCCTCAGAGTGGTTGCAATGTAATTTTGATTAGAAATCTTTGGGACAAACAAACATCGGTACCCATCATGTGTTTCCGTAGTACACAACAGACATAAGCAGACACGACCCAACACCAATTAATACCAAATAATTCCACCTGACAATTCGTTGTTTGTGTATACATGTAAAGCTCTAATGATAGAACTATAAACTCTGTCATTAAACATATAATTTGGATCTATCGGTGACTTGTGCATATATAGAATTCAGGTAATTATAAAACTACGTAACTAATGTATCATTTAAAAATATACTCATCTGTTATGTTTTGACTAAGTGTTTTTAATGTCGTTTAACATAATAAAATGGAATGACATGATGCTAATGTCCCTGTAGCAGTTTCTGATTATTCATTTACCTGAGGCTGAGATCTGGACTGGCGCACCGTACAACGGGACTCGGTACTGGAGGAACGACTCTGTATCCAAAAGTCAAGTAATTTTTCCAAACGTGCATGTACATGTCCCTCTCATTCACAGGTTTTCTGACTGCCGTTGAACTTCTTAAGAGGGAAGCTCTATTGTCATTGACAGGTCTGAAAGATATGAATAAAGATTATTATTTAGTTATACGTATAATTATTTTAAAATGTACAATAAACTTACGTAGGATCGATTACTGAAAATAGCGAATTTATTCGGGTAAAAACGATAGGCCATGAGTGAGCAATTGCGGTTGGGCACAGTGTGAGTACTCTGTCCTTCTCCAGAAATGCAAACAGGCAACTGCCCCAAGGATCTGCTCCGTTCAAATTTAGGGAAGAAGAGCTTTTCGTGCTCGTATCTTCGTGAAGACCTGCGTCGATAAATGTACTAGTAAAGTATATGAACACGTCAAACATTCTAATGTTAAAAATATCATCACTACCTGCTGTCCACACACAACTACTTCTTTCAGCTATCCATTGAAGATCAACGTTAGAAGTAGAAGCTGCTGCTGCTTTTTCTGCAGGTGGCAACATATGGTAACATTTCTCCAAAACTACTGGACAACAAGCATCTATTACGTCAATTACAGATTGATCGTCTTCCATACCTCCTAAGACATAAATAACATTATAATGTTTTATGTTTTTATTCTAACTTACATAATTATATTAATGAAACATACCTAATGCTTTCAATAAATGTTTAACCTCACGCAATATGTGAACGGCTATTCTTCGAGGGTATAATCGACAATTACAAAGCATGACCAATGCAAAGCCTTCCACCAAATGAAAAACACTGGAAATAGGTTCTATCTTTTGTCCTGATTCACTTTTCTTAATGTTACCGTCGGTACGAGTAATTGTTCTCGTGTTATCTGATTGCTCTTTAGATCTTATGCTGGGGCTTGTTAGTGAATTTTTCCAACTTGTTAAAAGCTGCAGAAGCATTCTTAAACCATTGTCCACCAGCTGCGGAAAAGTATCTTGAACATCTCTGGCAAGGAACTGAGTAAACCCAAGGACAACATCTTGTCTCCAATCAGGGAAATCTAGCACCAAAGTCTGTAAACTTTGATATGCTAATCCGCGAAGTTCCTCATCCATGTGAACAGTTAAACGGGACAATAAGTCTACTAATTCAGCACCAGTCATTCCATCAGGTATTAAACGAGGAACTGCGGCGACACAAGTCCGAAAAAGATCTATTCTTGGTTTTCGTTCTCCGGTGATCATTTCATCCGGTTCTTTGTTCATGTTTTGCGTACTCGTCATCATAAGAGGTCTTCCATAGTGAACATCTAATGCACGTAATATATCCACGAATACTCGCCGAACATGTGGGAAATATGAAGACATTCCTATACTTCTTGCTGTGTCTTCTGTCAACATCTAAATTGTACAAATTATATAATAAATATCTGTCAATTGATTGAATTATACATGGAAGTTTACAACACTTACTTTGTTCAGAAATGTCTTTTTAACGCGCATAGTATTGCCGCTAGGTAGTACGCCCATTGTACGAGGCATAGGAGGTTCTCCTTCCTTTTGTTGCAAACTATCAGCCACAACCAAAAAAGCGCGAAGTCCAATACTCATACGTTCAGGAGTTAAAATTATTTTTACTGGTCGGCCCACGGATAATAAATCGAATACTATTTCACGCATAGCAAAATCTAATCTTTCCTGTGCAATGAATTGAATGATTTTCACGAAAATATTCAATGGAGTATCACGTGGCACTACTGCCTTTGACCCTTTAGGAAACAAAGAGTTTACTATGCTTTGTAATCTACTTTGAGTAGCTGAATTGCTTTCGCACTTAATACGTATCATGTACACCCACAGCAAACGATACAATGCCTCTGTAAAACAAGGGAACCAAATATGTAAATTTATGTTATTACACGGTAACATTCCTTGTAGTGAATAATCGTACCTAGTGCAACACGACACATTTTGGGATCACGGTTCTTCAAATGAGAAAGACACATTGCTAAAAAATAATGCCAGTTTTGTAGAAAAAATGTTTTCTGACTCACGCATAATAAACATGTTACAAGAGGAAAAAGAGCAAGTCTATGCTTTGACTTTGTACACATATCTAACGTGGTAGAGTACAACATTTCTACAAAATTTTTTAGACAAGGTACATTAACTTCATTCTTTACGGCCTAAAATGAAAAAGATAAATGTCAAAATACATTGAAACATCGGAACGTATATTATACAAGTATGTCGCAAACCTACAGCAGCAACAGGGACAAGTATCTCAACAAAAAGACCAGCCAAAGCATGTTTGACATCTTTATCTTTTACTTCTAAAAAATACTGTGCACATTCTTGCATGAACTGAAACGAGGCTTCAAATTCTTCTATTGGTACCATCTATAAATTAATGTAATGAATATAAGTGTGTAATAAATATTGAAAAATAATATAGATTCCTATTTCCTGGTTACCTTTACTCTGAAAAATTTCATTCCCATTAATAACGATATTATACTTTGCGTAGTATGAGGTCCAGGTTCCTTAGCGCGTAATTCTTTTAACTCGATCATGAAACGTTTTCTAACTGACATAAATCTAGACTGTGCAAGAACTCCAATTACTTCTGCATAAAGATCAGCAATAATATGAATATTTGCTGCATTTGGTTCATTTTGGATGCTATAAGATAAAACGTGTTAGAAAATATACAGGAAATCTAAGTTCATATTAATCTTATAATCATCCTTTTATTTCTTACCCTTCTCTGTATTTAAAATGTTTGAATGCAATATTTTCTATGTAAGTAACTAAATCTTCATGGCCAGGATGAAATGGTAACTGACGCAAAACTTCTATCAACATTAAACAAAATATAAATTCGACTGCAAGATCTCTTCGCTCTTGAAGTAAATCTGCTTCACTTCTTTCAACTGTTTCAACACTTCCTGATACTATTGTGTACATAATACTGCAATTAAATATATATTTCATTATTGACATATTCTTTAATAATTCTTGCAATGTGTCTGTACCTTTTTCCTTTCTGATCTTCTTTACCAGGAGCAGGTTTCTTTTGATCACTACCCTGATCAACTAATTGACGTTCGTACCAATTAAACAATGCTCTTAAAATAGAAGGCAAACAATGTTCCGCAACTGAACCAAATGCAGATAGAAGCTGATCAAATTGTAGATCCTCTCCTCTTTGTAAAACTTTTGAAAGTGGCTTTTCCTGTGATACAATTATTATTAAAAACAGTCAGTACTAAATAAATATATTACTTACATGTTCTGTCATTACTGCTTCCATCTTTTTCTCTGCTTGCGAGGTAAACTCTGCAAATAAAGTGCGCATTACAAATTCTCCAGGTCTGAGATCCATATCTCCTAGTTGCTGTGGTTTCACAGTTTCCTTTTGAGCACCCCAAGGTAATACAACAGTTATTGCACTCACTCTACTGGAACTTGATTCTAAAACACAAATGGATTTCAAGGATTTGTGTGTAATACATCATACACTTCCATGAAAATTATATATCTACCATTGCCAGAAACCGAAGTACTGGCAGTATGTATGCTAACAGCATCGCTACTTTCTCCTTGTGTTGCTCCATGAACAGTAAGTAAATCTTGATTGGGTTCAGGTACACTTTGAGAAGAAGATTCTGCTGTTGTTTCATATAACCCCTCGCCATGTAAGGCTCTGGGTTCAGAAGCTTCTGATAAAAATGAAATATTTACATCTTGGACAATTCTCACAGGAATTAAGCTTCTTTAAATTTCATAACAGTATAAAAATATATTTTTCAAACACAAATATATTATAAAACCATATCAAGAAACTACTACTACAGAACTATTCTTAGATCTAAAACTAGTAATTCTGCATGATGGTAGAGACTAACAGATGAAGCCCCATTCTGTAACGTAACAGATGCCTACAATGAACACTAATTTAATTATATTAAGCTTGACAGTTGACTTTCTCTACATAGAAATTTGAAAAATTTCAAATCTATGAATTAGTAATAAAAACCAAAATATACCAGGCTGTGCTTCATTCCCTGGAGTTGGTTGTGTTTCTCCCCCTAAAATATAATTTTATAATTTATTATCATTATTTGAAAGTAAGGTGTATCGTAGTCCAAAATAAATAATGAAGTATATAATAATTATTCATTGCATTTTATAAATAATAAACATATAATAAACTATATTTACTAACCTTCAGTCATATTGTCTATGTATGCCTTATCTTTAGGCAACATTAATAGACATTAATGTCACATTACAAACACATAGCATTTTCATTCTAAAAGTAATAAAGAAACTGTGTTATGTAAGATACTTTTCTTAATATTTACTTCTTTTAAAAATAAAAAAACATCAGCACAAATACAATATATAAACACACATGCACATTCATTGTCTGTGCAATTAAGTATTATCTCAACACTGTATGTAACAATGTTAATGCATAATTATCTTTTATCAACAATAATGTCCATTAAACTTTATAATTGAAAAACAATCATATCTCAATTTGTATGCGTTGTCACAAATGTATTACAATTGAATGATGCTTCAACATTTTGTTCGTACAAAATACTAATATATGACGTATGAAAAATAAGATTTATTTAATTAAAGTGTAACAAAAATGACAAATTGCGGGAAGCCATAACCTTAGATGAAAAGTGACATTGCTATAAAATGATAAAGCAATAAAAAAATTTTACTTCAAGATTTTCATTATCATTATCAACAGATAACATTAGATAATTGAAAACCCTTTAATAGAAACTGTTTTATTTACCGTAAAATGCCACTAAATAACAATTTAATTCTAAGTCTGACGTTTCATAAATGTCCGGCTTGTTTCGTGTGTATTCTTCGCAATTTCACATTCCACACGTTCCTTGATTCAATGTGTTTTTCATCGTACCACTAGAGGGTGTTAAATTTTTCATTAATATTTCATAAAATTGTATCGAATATACGTTTTCGTTCTATCTAGTCATAATTTTATAAGTATTTCCATTATAAATGTATGTAACTTTATAATGAAATCAGTATACATCTCAATTAGAATATACTATTTATATCTACATTGAATATCATTGAGAATTTCTTGTGGTTTAAAGAATTCACGAAATATATACATAAAATGTATAATTTACTACTATTTCTGGTTTAATCTATATCAGTAACGATTGGCATTGGATTTATTCTTCTGTACCAACTGTAGATATTGTGTTACATCGTAGAAACCATTGAACAAACAGTATCTTTAGTGTATAAAATGACCCTGGCAATGAAGCACTTCGATTATGCTATTAATTGCAAATCAATTAACTCGATATCTACATAAAACATGATATCTAATCGGGATATTTATACACTCCAAAAGATAAACGATATTTTTGCATTTCAATTTTAAAGAATTGCCAATAATTTCATACTAAAATATGTATGCTCTTTGTACCTCGAACGAGTAATAAAATTTGCAAAAAAATTTAATTTCCGTAGCTCATGTATTGAGCAATAAGAAATATCAAACGTCATATTTATTTTTATGTAATACAACTATACATCAATAATAGAAGCCAAATTCGTGAAGCGAGGACAACGAGCATTTTGATAACTAATTCTCAATAGACACGTTGTATGAAGCTATTGTTTTATGAATTATTGATTCGATAAAATACCGAAATGTCTTGATTTCTGCCATATTTAGTAGTAGATCTGTAAATCCATATCATGCACGAAACTGCTTCAAACTGCTTTCAGGTGCATTGACCATCATGTCCTCAGTTATTGTACTAAACGCAGACAGCCGCTTTCGTCATCAAGGTCGTTATTTAATCCAATCCACACACTTGAGTCCCACCATTGCATGTTCGATATAATGTATGTGAGCTAGTAATCGTGTGTTATTATATGTATATATTGACGTGCGCATTCAATGCGATGGAGATGACGCGTATATCTAATGCAAATAATTTTCCTGCTACAATCAGGAAAATTTAAAATTCCTCGAGCTCTTTGATTCGCACGACACCAATAGGTATCGCAATTCGATTTTTCTGTCAGTGTTATAGACCCAGGACGATTGCGTAACACCGCCCTTTAGCTAAAAAAGCGTTAATATATGTATAATTTCTATTGTATTGATATATTATCGAAAAATATAGCTGATCTTTATGTCAGTAATATTATACAAACATATTAAATTACTGCTGATGATGCTACTTTTGCCATTTAAGTAGGTTTGCTAATGCATATGTTTGTGTAAGCATTATCAGGAGACAGATATCACCTTCTTGAAATTAAATGTGGAATTTCCCGTTTGTGTTCTAGGAATATAGGTAAATGAATGAAAAATTAGTCAACGATATAATGATAAGAAATATTAGATAAATATCTTACTATGAACATTTAGAAATTTTAATCGTTCGAATAATTTTACACGAGCTATTGTTCAATTCCGTGTAACGTTGTGAATCATCGTTATCTTCTCATGTCTTTCTCGGTACTTTCTTTCTGATCTCTGCTTGTTTAATCAAATGAAAGCGAATGCAAGATTATCGCGAAGCAATTCTATCGCCTGCGAATATTACAATAAATTTCATAGGAGGTTTGTAGCTGTAATTTTACATACTTAGGATTGTGGAACATTGGGACTTCCGGATTTTGGAAATATAGAACTTTGAATCTTCAAGGATCGTTTTCGAAAGAGGAGCTGAGTTCACCATAGTTTAGGAAGCCCTTGATTGATTCTTGTGACGAATAGTTGCACGCGCCACAAGAAATGTTCGATGTACATAACAGACACATTTAGCATTAGTCTATTCTTTACAAGGTCCGCTAAGTATGTACGCATCTTCAAGGTGTATAAATACACTTTATTCGAAGTTACTCCATTGAACTCTGGCGTTGTGCTCCGTAACATACTGGCCGTTCGCCAGGGTTACGCAAGTCCCGCCCCGTTGACCTCCTTCTTCACGAGGGATTGACCTTGCATCTTGTTCTTGCACCTTAACAGCGCAAACTCGAAACCACCCCAAAGGTGATCACCGCATGACATGTGCAAATTATCGTAGTTATCTCTATTATATTTTGTTATTTGCGTTAATAATTAATAATGCAAAAAATATTGATGATAAAAACTGTTAATGCCAAGATCATGGCAAATTACTTGCGTACGAACGTTAATCAATGCGGAAGAGAGTATAGAGGCCGTCACACAACGATCGATTGGTATAGCAGAATACTGTATAGTTATGTCTGCCTCAAATCGGATAGGGCCATATTAAATTGTGCCAATCTCGGTCGTGTTTGTTATCCTTGACATAGTGCTTCCTTCTTTATGTTTGCAAATTCTCCTTGATTTTAAATATTACATCCAATAATAGACTATAAGGGGTTACCGTACTATAATCGAATTACAATGCACTTTCAAATGCAATAATGAAAATGCTATTGTTTCTAGACTGAAATTAAAAAATGGCTACATTAAAAAAATGAAGTTATGCAATTATTTATATGAAATTATAAGATTATACTATATACTTTACCGGTAATTAACGGCAAGCAAAGATGGCCGTATTCCGCGCGAATTTCAAACATGCGCATGATTTTTGTAAGAATATACTTCTTCAAGCTAGTTTCGTCGTTTAGAGGTTGAAATTTTAAAGGCACGTGTTTCTATGAATAAAGGTTAGGTTTTAGTTATCACTCAATTTATATGTCTAAAAATTCATCGACAACCTCGATAATTAGCATTCTGATAGTATATGTTATAATATGCATGCTTACGTGCTAATGTTGGGCAAATACGAAAGGAATTTCGACTTGTCGAACAAAGAATGGTAGATATACTATACAGATCTCACATTATCAGTATATATTGTCAGTATTCCAGAATTCTGACAATTAATAACATACTGTCAGTACAATATTCTCGATATTACAATTATTTCAATAAATATTTAAAATGCTGAAATATCAACGATGTTGTGTACTGATTATTCGCCATTTTCCCTTCCATACTGTTGAAATGAATTCCCGCCAAATTGTTTCATATTTCGAATACCTTGCCAGTAGCGACAATTCTCTATACGTCGCTTGACCGGAAATACGTCGTTCGCGCGGTTAAATGGCTAATTTTGAAAGGGATGACCGTGATCGCATTTTATCAAGCTGATATACACGCGGTGACCGTGAAATGAAGCAGGAAGGTACAGTGTCGTAAGACACGTGAAGAAAGGTTACGAATTCGGAACGGAGTACGCATTTGAAGTGCGTGAAGTGTCAGGGTCTCAAGGTGCGGCCGTGCCAGAAGATTGAACCTGCGCAGAAGACCGCACGTGACCTGCGCAGCTATTCTTAGCAGAGGTCCGTTCAACGAGAAGAACTCTGACTCGCTCACTCGTCGTCCGGCGCGCGTCCGAAACGTAGGAGTTGCTTTCTCCTCTTTCTTTTGTTAACCCGTTTCTCACACACCAAACTACCCGACAATATGTCTGGTCTTGCGGACCCAGTGGCATTCGTCAAGGATTTTGTGGCGGGTGGTGTAGCCG